AGACTCATTGTTAGAAAACAGACTGACAGCTATCAGAGGGGATGGTGATTGTGGGGCTGGGTGAAAAAGGTGAAGGGATTAAGCAAAAAAACAAAAACAAAAACTCAGACATAGACAACTGTGTGGTGATTTCCACAGTGAAAGCAGGGTGGGGGGAGGTAGAGTAGGGTATAGGGGGGATAAAAGGTGATGGAAGGAGACTTGACTTGGGGTAGTGAACACACAATACAATATAGATGATGAATTATAGATTGTACACCTGAAACTTATATAATTTTATTAACCAAAGTCACCCCAGTAAATTCAATAAAGAAAGAAAACCTTATATAGCAATGCCATAGCTGACATGAAGACCAGATGCAATAATCTTCGATCCCTACCCTAGCACTGACTGATCAGCAGAGGCCACAACCCTGACCATAACTCTAACTCCCCTAGACACCATGACTGGTGATTTCCCCCTATATAATCCATCCCTTGAAAGCCATCAGGAACCAAGTCTTTGACTAGCTTACCTGTGAGTCCAGGTGTGCACAACTAATGAACCCTTACTTTTTTGGCCGCAAAAAAATTAATTAAAATTAAATTACATTGAAAATTCAGTTCTTTCCATTATATTTCAAGAGCTCAGTGTGTAGCTATTGCCTACCACATTGGGCAGCAGCAAATATAGAAATTTATCATCACAGAAAGTTCTATTAGACAGCATACGTAGGTGGACATAGAAAAAAAATCTCCTAGAGAAAGAGGTCATAGAGAAAGAAGCAGAGAAAGAGATTCTGAGAACCACAACGTAAAAGAGGTTATTATAGGAAACACAAAACAACACAAGATCCAGAAGAAAGTGATGTCATGGGAGCCAAAGCATTAGAAATTTTCTTTATCTTTTTTTGTTTTATTTCTTTATTTTTCTTTATTTTATTTTGTTAGGCATTAGAAATTTTCAAGGAGGAAGGGTTCACATCAAATGTTACAGAGAGGGAGCTAGAATCAATTGGCAAATAAGAGAGCAAGACAGTTTTTAAAAAATATATATATATTTTTTGCCGAAACCGGTTTGGCTCAGTGGATAGAGCATCGGCCTGCGGACTGAAAGGTCCCAGGTTCGATTCCGGTCAAGGGCATGTACCTGGGTTGCGGGCACATCCCCAGTAGGAGATGTGCAGGAGGCAGCTGATCGATGTTTCTCTCTCATCGATGTTTCTAACTCTCTATCTCTCTCCCTTCCTCTCTGTAAAAAATCAATAAAATATATTTTAAAAAATAAAAAAATAAAAAAAATAAAAAATATATATATATTTTTATTGATTTCAGAGAGGAAGGGAGAGGGAGAGAGAGAGAGAAACACCAATGATGAGAGAGTCATTGATTGGCTCCTGCACACCCCCACTGGGGACTGAGCCCTGACCAGGAATCGAACAGTGACCTCCTGGTTCGTAGGTCGATGTTCAACCACTGAGCCACTGTGGCCAGGCTAGCAAGACAGTTTTTAGAAACAAAACACCCAAACAAAGAAAGTACTTCACTGCTCACTGCACAGCAAGCAACATGAGGCTTGTTCACACGGGTTCCACCAGTACCGTGGGGGTCATGGAGGCCCCAGCTGGATGCCTATCCTTGAGGTGGCTTGCATTATAGGAGAGGAATCCTGAGCTTAAGGAATCTTCTATTTTATAGCAAGTAGTAAGCAAGCAAGCCTGGTTTTTGTTCCAGAGGGTGACATTATGTCATCCTTCAAGACTGTTCTCAGAAAAAAAGAAAGAAAAAGATTGTTCACTGCAAGTACAGTCCTGAGAAATGGCCTGGGTAAAGGCAGTCAGGGCCTTGCACTCTTGGCATACCCAGCAAAATACGCAGGGATGCCAGAGACCCATGGAGGAGTGTCTTTCACCTAATGCACTGCTGGAACGAACGTAAAATGGTGCAACCACTTTGAAAAACGTTTTGGTGTTTTCCTAAAATGGTAAACAAGGCACCCTCCCTCTCAGGAGCTTGCCTTGCCTTTCCCTTCTCCCTCGCCTCCCCAGTGCGTTACCTTTGTCTTTCTCTCTCCTAAGCTCCAAGGGCCATGCATTTAGCAAAACAGCTTTAATGCACACGGGAGGTCAGATTGTGGTGGGTGGAAGAGAGGTCGGTGGGGAGGCATAGAACAGAACGTAGACGTAGCAGAGCTCTCAGTTCCAAGCAGCTAAAACAAAACAAGGGGATTGCCATTAAGTACAGGAGCAGATAGCCAGTGTTATATAAGAGGAATTAAAGAGATTAGCCTCAGTTTGGCAAATGACTCATGCAGAAAGTGATGATGTTTGGATTCCAGATAAGGAGTCAGCAGGTAGGTTGTGGGGAAGGTGCACCAAGAGGAAGGAACTGCACAGCAATGGCGAGGTGGACAGCAGGAAATGGAGCCCCAGGACTTGGGATCCTCCTGCCAACAGTGTGCATTTGCACTCACAGGGACAGGGAAGCCTGCGATGTTCTTGAGCAGAAGAGGAACAAGATCACGGTTGAGCCTTAGGGGGGTTAGTGGCAGCTTCGGCAAGATAGAGGAGTTCCCCCAAAGGAGTAGAGAGACCCCCTTGTGGAATCCAGAGCATGAAAGAAGGGAGTTAGAAATTGTTGGCAAATCTGAATTTAGCTGCAGAGAGTAAATTCCCTCCAGCGGTGCCCTGGGGCTATAAAGCCCAGGTGAGCCAGGGGGTCCCCGGGGTCTGAGTTGGTGTGACCAGTGCAGATCTGCCCCCTGCAGATCCCGCCTGCAGGGAGAGGTCAGAGGCTCAGATGCACAACCCCCGCTTGCTGGGGCTGCCAGGGCTGCCAGGGTGGGATAGAGGTGGTTTCTCTGACCGTGAGAAAGTGTCCCCACAGGTTAGCGTTACCATCAGTGGGATTTCTGAGAACAGATACAACATAGAGTAAGGCACAGGTTCCAACACACTAAACACCCCCTCACACACACGCCTGAAAAGACCAGAAAGGTCTCAGGGGTTTCAAATCCAAAATATAAAAGATTTCCCATCCCCACCCCATTTCTGGGGACTCTGGCTGCAGAGAGCAATGGCAGATTTTGAAGGGGGAAGGTTCTTTCTGGAGTCAAGCTTGGAGGAGATTGGGAGAGGGAGGCGGGGGTTCAATCACCCCTGAGACTTTCCCTAATTGTCTGTCTCCCTCCCCACCTCATTTCCCTGAGTGTCTCAGACTATAAGAGGAGTATCTGACACAGAAGATTTTGACATCTTGGTTTGCAATAGCTGCTTCCTTCTTAGGAATCCCAGAAGCCCCCTCCCTTTTTCCCTTGGCAACTCAGATGACCCCTCTACCCACCCCCAGACTCTTCAGGGACCCAGGCACCCCTTTCCCCAAAGCTCTCACCCCTTGTAGGTCCCCCGCCCTTCCTGATAGCTCTGGCTTTTATCCAGTCTCCTGTTTACTCACTTCATTTTCCTGGTTGACTTTGGGTCCCTGGTTGACTCTGAGCCTTTATCTCTCCCTCTGGGAACCTGCCCTGGGTGGGGGGTGTCAGAGCCCCACCCACCCTGGCTGCACAGAAGCCCAGGCCTTGGTGATAAGAGAGGAGGAGCCCTAGGGGCGGCAGCTGCTGGGTGTTGTGTGAGAGAACACCCAGGCTTCGCAGCTGTTGTTTCCAGGGGAGACTCCCCAGCAAACAATGAGTCCTAGGCCAGGAGGGTGGGAGCAGGGCACGGGTCCGGCCAGGCCCCGGGAGGAGCAGACTGCATCTGAGAAAGCCCACACCACCTTTCAGTGGTCCCTTCTCTCTGGGTGCGACCTAGACCCACCTCCCATCCCAGGCAGGTTCTGGAGCGATGGAGGTGCTCACAATCTGTTCAATCAGTCCCTTTTCAGGGCCAGAAAACAAAGAATTCTCCAGGAAGTGGAACCTGGTGTCTGTGTGGAACCAGGAAACAGAGGCCTCTGTCTCTCTTTGCACACGGCTCCAGCCCCCAGTTGCCACACAGAGATGCCTGCCGCCCACCCACAGTCTTTGAGAGTTTGCAGAGCTCCCTCTGGGAGATAAATAATCCCGGTGAGGCTAGTTTTGAAGTTCCCATTTCATAGGAGGCTCTTGGACTGGGGGTAGAGGCATTGTGTCTCACTGCACAGGCCTGAGTAAGGTGTTCAGATACCTCCCCATCACACACACTCCCGTAGTGGTGCCTGGAAACAGCATGTGGGTGGCTGGGGACCAGAGATCAGCTAATAGGAACTAGGGAGCAGCCAGAACCCGCATGCAGGTCCTTTGCTGTTATACCTGGCAGAAGCCAAAGGAAAAATCTGCAGGCAGCTTCTGGTCAGCAAACAAGATCAAATACCGTCTTCCACCCAGATCTCAACCCCCCGGGACCTAGGGTCTGAGCACCCTGCTCCCCAGCTGTTTCTCTCAGGACCACCACCCTTCTAGGACTGAGTTTCCCAGCAGGCTCTCAGGGCACAGCCACCAGCTGTTCTCATATCCTCAGGCCCCAGGCATCCAGGCTTGCCCTCCACCCTTCACAGGCCTTCAGGATCCCCATTCCACCTGGCTCTGGGATCAGGAGCCTCCTCCCGGAAGTTGGAACCATCTGCCTGGCAGGTGGGGTGTGGCCTGAGGAGCCCAGAAACTCCATTATATAGCCCAGCCCAGGGGCTAACCCTGAAGCTCCAGGGACCTGCAGGTAAGAGAGGCTGGGTCTCCTTTGGAAATAGGACATCAGGTCTCCTACTCTTGCTCCTGACTCCAGGCTTCCCCACCCCAATCCCCAGACCCAACGGACATCCAACTCCCTATCCTTGCCCCTGTCCTGCCCTCCCCACCCCACCCCCAGACCAACTGGACATCCGACTACCCTATACACACTGACCCTTGGATCCAGCCCACTCAAGCCTTCCTGCTGTCCAGGTGGCCATTGTCCTGAGACTGGGCCCTTCTATTGTTTCTGAGATGGTCTCTGTCAGGAGGGGCAGATCAGCTTCTTATGACCCCGCTTTATTTCCCCTCTGCAGACATGGGCTTCCTGTGGAGCTGGTGGACACTCTGGGCTGGAGCAACCCTTCTGTGGGGTAAGTAAGGCCAAGATCCCACCCCTGTTCTTGTTCCTGACTCTGCCTGCCTGGGTCAGCACCCTCCATTTGTGTCCCCTCCACAAACCCTTCTCCCAACGTCACCCTATGCTAGCTGCAATGGGAGAGAGGGCCCTTGGGCTCTGCAGAGAAGTGTGGCAGAATTGAGGCAAACACGTTAGTCCCCAATTCAAGGTGCAAGAACAACCACTCCCTTGATTTTCTGCAACTCAAGCAAAGTTTAGACCCTAACAATCATTCTGCTGAGTTAATGGAGAATTTCACTAAAGTCATTCTTGGTGGGCTTGGTGCCCAGTTCTCCAGGGTCATGTCCAGGACTGGAGTCTTAAGTAAACCAAAGGACTGGGGGAAGGATGGGACACCAAGATGGGACACCTGATTCCTTGGCCCCATGGACACTAGGATACCCTTCAAGGCCCCCCTTGTTCACCAGGCACTTCTTCTATAACTCCCACACTCTCTCCAAGACCCCATAGACTCTTCTTTCTCTCCCTCCCCTCCCCTCCCCTCCCCTCCCCTCCCCTCCCCTCCCCTCCCCTCCCCTCTCCTCTCCTCTCCTCTCCTCTCCTCTCCTCTCCTCTCCTCTCCTCTCCTCTCTCCTTCTCTCTCTCTCTCTCTCTCTCTCTCTCTCTCTCTCTCTCTCTCTCTCTCTCTCTCTCCTTTCCCCCTTCCTCTCTCTTCTGGAGCATCCCTGTCCATTTGGGGGTGTTGAAAAGTCCAAACTGCTCTCTATTTCTTGGAGACATTTTGCTCACATTCCATAACTCCTTTCTTCCCTTTACCCACTTCACACTCCCCACCCCACCTCCAGTTCTATTATCACAAACTGGCAACTGAATCCAGCCCCATAGAGCTTAAAACAATTTTGGGTTGGAGATTTCACATGGAAATTCAGACAGCAAGTTTCTCACACAAAAAAAGGTAAAATCTGGCATAAAAAAAGGAAAAAAGAGTCGATACGCTGTCAAAATAACAACAGGCTAAAGCTAGTAGCAACGCCCCACTTTTGATGTGCCTGAACGCTCCATTTGCACAATTGCCACCCAAACTGTTTCCCATATTGACATTACTTGCTTCACACTTGAATCTGAGCTCTCTGTCCAAAGCATTCAGGTTTTTGGAAGACAAAGTCAGACAGGCTGGTAGGTAAATGCTGCAAGAAAAAGGAGAAAGGAAAGAGAAAAGAGGGAGAAAAGCCCAAGTTAATATTTGACAGGTTATCCAGGCACAGGGCAAGGGGTTACTTCTCTGATGGAGAAATAGACCCATGAGTGCATTTTCTCACCCCAGGGTTGACCCAGGAGGCCTCAGTGGACCCCAGCAATGCTGAAGGGGCGGAATTCCTCACAGCCTTCCTGCAGAACTACCAGCCCGGGTATGTCAAGGGCAAGCTCTACCTCCTCATCACCAGTCTGTCGGACAGATCTGCTTCAGTTACCGTCCTCAGCCAGGCAGATGGCACCTCGCAGAATGTACCAGTGAAGCCTGGGCAGTCGGTCATGGTCAACATCAGCACCAAGGCTGAGATGATCGGCAGCAATATCTTCCAGCACGCGGTATTGGTCCGCTCGGATCGCAACATCTCTGTGCAGGCCATAAACACTAAGCCCAACACAGAGGATCTGACACTGCTGCGGCCTGTCAGCACCCTGGGAACAAAGTACTTTGTGTTCACACCCCCTAGTGCCTCGGCTAAGAATGTCAAGGAGTTTGCTGTGGTGGCTGGTGCAAAGGGTGCCTCGATCAGTGTGCAGCTGAAGGCGGCAGTGACATTCCAGGGCAACTTCTACCCAGGGGGCAGTGTCCTAACTGTGACTCTCCAGCCCTACCAAGTGGCCCAGGTACAGAGCACGGCTGATCTCTCAGGGTCAAAGGTCACAGCCAGTAGCCCTGTGGTTGTCCTCTCCGGCCACAGCTGTGCCCAGAAACACACAAGCTGCAACCATGTGGTGGAGCAGCTGTTACCCACGTCTGCCTGGGGCACCCACTATGTGGTGCCCCCTCTGGCCTCCCAGACCCGCTTCGATGTGGTCTATGCCATGGCCGGCCAGCCCACGAAGCTGACCTACAACCACGGGAACATCATCGGCTCCAGGGGACTCCAGGAGGGGGACGTGATTGAGTTTGAGGTCCGGCCATCCTGGCCACTCTTCCTATCTGCAGATGCGGGCATCCAAGTCCTGTTGTTTGGCACGGGTGGCACAAGGGACAAAGTGACCTATGACCCCTACTTGGTCCTGATCCCAGATGTGGAAGCCTACTGTCCTGCCTATGTGGTCAATAGCTTCCCAGGCTCTAAGGGTGTGGCCATAGTGGTGGCACAGACGAAGGCTGCTGACAAGCTGACCATTGATGGACACGGGCTGGGGACCAGGCTCACCTGGGTAACTGTTCCAGGCAGTGAGTTCTCGTATGCCGAAGTGGACCTCAACAGTACTAACATCATCCACATGACCATGGCCAATACCAGCTTCGGGCTGCTCACCTTTTGGCTGACCCAATCTGGGGGCTACGGGACAGCAGCTGCCTGCGGCCAGAGTGAGTGATGGGGAACGACACCCTGCCCACCAGGTGTCCCCTTTGTGGTCTCTCTCACCTTTCCCTTTTCTTACCCACCTGCTCTCCTGTGGCTTCCCGGCTCAGCTGGGCTGTTCCCCCCGCCACACACACACACACACACACACACACACACCCCTCATCCTCTCTGTCATCCTTCCTTTCCTTAAGGCTTCCCAGCCCCTCTCTATACCCCCTCACCAAGCAATACTCTACTCTAAATGTTTAGCAACAGGTGTGGTCCAGGGTCCCAACCAGTCAGAAGAGATACCAGCACATGAAGCAGGGTCTTAGAAGCCCCATGGTATCTGGCATTAGCCCTTGGTCTGTTGCTTTTGGGAAGAAGTTGGGGAAGGAGTCTTAGGGGAGAGCCAATGTGTGTGAGAGAGGAATATTTTGGGGGGGGGGACAGGGACGGGTTAAAGCTTTTTACCAATTTGTTTATAAATATTTTTACATTTAGCAACTGATACACAACTATACCAGTTGCTAACTGATACTCTCCCACACCTGCTTTGGAATATTTATGCCCAAACTCAGAAGGCCTAAAAGTATAATAATAATGATGCCTCCCATGCCAGGGTATTTCTCTCTCAATATACCAGGTGCCTCGCCGTTAAAGTAGTTCATCTCTAGGACCTGGCCCTATATGCAGCCTCAGGCTCAGCACATTGAGAAGCTGCTTCCAGGCAGGGCAGCGCTTGATGGCACAGATGGGAGAGCCAGGCTTCTAGGGTTCAAATACCACCTCTGCTTGTGTGACCTGGGGCATATGACTTCACCTCTGGGGGCCTCAGTTTCCATTTCTGTAAAATGGGGGTAATAACAACATCCCCTCCACAGGTGTAATGAGTAAACATTTGTAAAGCACTTTGGGGGTACCTGGCAAGTGAGTAGGGCTACGGAAGGGTAAGCTGCGATTATGAGTTGACAGAAGGCAAGAGCTTCTGAAGACTAGGAAGCAGAGGAGGAGAAACTGTTTCTCCTTATTTGGACCCCCTACCCCTTAAGCTAGGACCTAGACACTAGGGTTCCCAATACTGGCAAAAATGTCCCTCCCTCCACCCCTCCATGGCATAAATCCACTCAATTTCAAAGGGCCACTTTGGGCTTCAATAGTAGAATGGCGAGAGGGTAGGTGATCAATTATAACACCTGGGGCAGTTCCCAGCCCTACTTAGTTTTAGCTTATTTAAACCTGGCAGCACCCCCTCCCCCAAAATCCCTGTGAAGAAGGTATCATTGTCATCAACGTCACCAGTGAGGAAAGTGGGGCACAGAGAGTTGAACATTCCTTGTCCAGTGTCACACAGCTAATTGGTTGAGCTGGGATTCTAACCTGGGCTGCCTGACTTCACTGTCATTTCCTTTCTGTTGAACAGTTTCTGTCTTCCATCTTCTGCCTTAGCATTTTGCCCTGAGTGAGAAGGTAGGGGAGAGGAGAAAATTAACAAGTTAGCTATGCCATGATTGTTCCTGCCGGTCCTTTTCCACTACCTTCCAGTCCTTCTGGGCTGAGCTGTGTTAAACTGGGGAATCAGGGAACCTGGGCTTGGGTTGGGCCTGAGCAGCTCTCTCCCTGTGAGATTCCAGACCTCAGTTTCCCCGCTTCTAAAATGGGTAGTTGTGAGCACATTGCCCAAACTCCCTGCAGCGGGATTGCTCCAGGATTCCCACCCATGTGCACATTTCCTAACTTCTCCCTCACCACCTCTCCTCCCACCCCAGCCCTATTGTCTGCGGAGAAGCCCTCCTGCGAAGGTGTGCAGTGCCCTCCCTCGCAGATCTGCCAGGTGGTGGATGGGCACGCCAAGTGCATGCCAGGCCCCGTGGCCGTCTGCCGAGCCCAGGGTGACCCCCATTACACCACCTTCGATGGCCGTCGCTACGACATGATGGGCACGTGCTCGTACATGATGGTGGAGCTGAACAGCGAGGACCAGGCACTGCCAGCCTTCAGCGTGGAGGCCAAGAACGAGCACCGTGGAAGCCGCAGGGTCTCCTATGTGGGTTTCGTCACCGTGAACGCCTACAGCCACTCCGTGTCGCTGGCCCGCGGGGAAGTTGGTTTCGCCCGGGTAAGGAATCTTCAGCATTATAATGCCCATCAGTTAGAAGGAGGAGCAAAGCCTGGGTGTCGGGGCCCCCTAATCTGAGCCCTTTGCCGAGAGTAGAGGGTATAAGAAGTGGACCCAGGATGTAGGGGTTGGGAGGAGGAATTTGAAAATCCATGGCAGAATCTTAAACCCCTTTTGTCCAGCAATTGTACTTCTAAAAGTTTTAAGGATGCTCAGAGATATGGCTAGGGAAAAAAGTTTATACCAATGTGGTTTGTAATAGCAAATAACAACAACAACAATAATAATGGTAGGGAAAAAGAAAACAAAATGTCCCAAAATGGGGAATTTCTTAAGTGACCAAACACTAACTTTAGTGAGCACTATGTGCCAGACTTGTTTCTTAGCATTTTCCAGGTTTTAATGCACTTAATATTCACAGAATTTTCAGGATAGGCATTATTATTATTATCAACTAGAGGCCTGGTGCACAAAATTTGTGTGGGTGGGGGCAGTGGGGGTCCCTCAGCCTGGCCTGCACCCTCTTCAATCCGGGATCCCTCTCACAATCCAGAACCATTGGCTTTTAACTGCTCACCTGCCTGCCTGCCTGATGCCTCTAACTTCTCTCCCCTGCCAGCCTTATCCTCCTAACTGTTCTCCCCTGCTGGTCTGATCCCCCTAACTGCCTAACTGCTCTTCCCTCCTGGCCTGGCCTGATCGCCCCAACTGACTAACTGCTCTCCCCTCCTGGCTGATCTCCCTAACTACCTAACTGCTCTCCCCTCCTAGACATATCACCCTAATTGCTCTCCCCTGCCAGCCTGATCCCCCTAACTGCCTAACTGCTCTCCCCTCCTGGCCTGATCCCCCTAACTGCCTAACTGCTCTCCCCTCCTAGACATATCACCCTAATTGCTCTCCACTGCCAGCCTGATCCCCCTAACTGCCTAACTGCTCTCCCCTCCTGGCCTGATCCCCCTAACTGCCTAACTGCTCTCCCCTCCTGGCCTGATCCCCCTAACTGCCTAACTGCTCTCCCCTCCTATACATATCACCCTAATTGCTCTCCCCTGCCAGCCTGATCCCCCTAACTGCCTAACTGCTCTCCCCTCCTGGCCTGATCCCCCTAACTGCCTAACTGCTCTCCCCTCCTGGCCTGATCCCCCTAACTGCCTAACTGCTCTCCCCTCCTGGCCTGATCCCCCTAACTGCCTAACTGCCACCTTCTCCCTTCTCCTGCGGCACTGGCCTTCTCCTTTCTGCCTTCTCCTGCGGCACCTTCTCCCGCGGCCTCTGCAAAAGGGACCACGGTGCTGGACTGGTCCTCACAGCCACAGTGGCTGCAGGTCCTCGGCCCTTGCAGCCACTGTGGCTTTGTCTGAAAGGACGTCTAGAAGAATATCTGGAAGACGTCCAGTCTAATTAGCATATTAGCCTTTTATTAGTATAGACTAGAGGTCCGGTGCACAAAAATTTGTGCACTGGGGGGAGGGGGTCCCTCAGCCCGGCCTGTGCCCTCTCTCAGTCTGGGACCCCTCGGGGGATGACCACCTGTTGGCTTAGGCCTGCTCCCTGCGGGATTGGGCCTAAGATGGCAATCAGATATCCTTCTGGCAGCCTGGCAGCCCTCAGGGGATGTCCACTTGCCAGTGGGGAGCAGACCTAAGCTGCAGTCGAACATCCTTAGTGCTGCTGAGGAGGCAGGAGAGGCTCCCACCACCACCGCTGTACTGGCACCATCAGCCTGGCTTGTGGCTGAGCAGAGCTCCCCCATGTGGGAGCGCACTGACCACCAGAGGGCAGCTCCTGCATTGAGTGTCTGCCCCCTGGTGGTCAGTGTGTGTCATAGTGACCAGTCATTCCCAGTCTTTCTGCAGTTAGGGTCAGTTTGCATATTACCCTTTTACTATATAGGATAGAGGCCTGGTGCACGGGTGGGGGCCGGCTGGTTTGCCCTGAATGGTGTCCCGGATCAGGGTGGGGGTCCCGCTTGGGTGCCTGGCCAGCCTGGGTGAGGGGATGATGGCTGTTTTCAGGCTGCTCGCACCCCCTTTAAGGTTGGGGTCCCCATTGGGGTGCCTGGCCAGCCTGGATGAGGGGCTGAGGGCTGTTTTCAGGCTGCCCACACCCCCTTCAGGGTGGCGTCCCCACTGGGGTGCCTGGCCAGTCTGGATGAGGGGATGAGGGCTGTTTTCAGGCTGCCTGCACCCCCTTTAGGGTGGGGGTCCCCACTAGGGTGCCTGGCCAGCTTGGATAAGGGGCTGATGGCTGTTTTCAGGCTGCCCACACCCCACTGGGTGGGGGTCCCCACTGGGGTGCCTGGCCAGCCTGGATGAGGGCCTGAGGGCTGTTTTCAGGCGGGCCAAGCCTGCAACTGAAGCTCCCAGTCTCTCCTTTCTTTCTTTCTTTCTTTTTTTTTTAATTCTGGGATTTATTTACCTTCTGTAATTGAAACTTTGTTGCGGCTCCAGCTCGAGGCCAGCTGACTGAAATCAGGTATCTGGGGTTTGTTTAGCTTCTATAATTGCAACATTGTTGCTTAGACTGGAGCTCAGAGCTGGGCTGCAGCAGGCGGGGAACCTTGGCTTCCTCCATCACTGGAGCAAGCAAGCTTCATGTTCGCTTCAGCTGCCTGGCTGCTGGCCGCCATCTTTGTTGGCAGTTAATTTGCATATCACCCTGATTAGCCAATGTGAAGCGTAGCGGAGGTATGGTTAATTACCATGTTTGTCTATTATTAGATAGGATGAGGAAACTGAGATCCAGAGGTATGAGTGATTTCCGATGATCTTAGAGCTATAGGAGATGGAGCTGGGAATACAGGTAGGCTAACACATATGTCCCTATTCTTAACCTCTAGTCCTTTTGCCTCTGGTAAATGGATTACTACTCAGTCAATACAATAACAGCCTACAGCAATTATTCATTTCCCTCCACCATGTTATTATGAAAATGTTCAAACATCTGAAAAGCTAAAATCACTGTGCAGTAAACACTCGTATGCCAATCATCTAGATCAGGGTTGGGGAATGTCTGGTCTGTGAGCCATAAAAGGCCCCCGAAATCATTTGGTCTGACCCTGCCAAGGCATTAGGGGTGAGTTAATTAAATGTTTGGCCAAATGTAGCAGGCTAATTTTTAAGTTGATAATTTTGTATGGCTCAAGAATCCTATCTAATAAAGAGGGAATATGCTAATTGACCCTCACACCATCGCAAAGATGGTGGTGCCCACAGCCAATAAGGAGGGAATATGCTAATTTACTGCCACACCCTCAAAGATGGTGGTGCCCACGGCCACAAGATGGTGATGCCCAGTCCCTTCAGCCCCCAGCCACCCAGGGCCAACCCGAGGTGCAGGCAAGCCTTGGATGGTAGCTGTCCAGCTGCCCAGGGCCAACCGAGGTTCAGGTAACCAGCCGAGGCTTGCACTGCCGGCAGTGGCAGCAGCAGAGGTGTGATGGGGTATCGCCTTCCCCTGATCACTGGGTTGCCTTCTGCCCCTGAGGGCTCCCAGACTGTGAGAGGGTGCAGGCTGGGCTGAGGGACCACCCCCCTCCAGTGCATGAATTTTCATGCACCAGGCCTCTAGTGATGTTATACATATCTAAGTGGCCCTTGGCAGAAAAAAGGTTCCCCACCCCTGATCTAGATTCTAAATATTTTACTCTTCCTGATTTATCACACATCTATCATCTGCTCATTTCTCTTCCCTTTCAACACTCCATCTTATTTTTTATGCACTTCAAAGTAAGTTCCAGACACCAGTATATTTCACCCCTAAAGACTTCAACATCCATATCATAACTGGAATACATTATTTTTACACTTCTTATTGCTTACTTTTGAAATTAAATTTATACATAATAAAAGCCACACATTTTAAATGTACAGTTCACTGAGTTTTGGCAAATGTGCAACCCAAACCTGTATTAAAATACAGGATGTGTTCATCACTCTGGAACATTTCCTTATGCCCCTTCCCAAACAAATCCCAACCCACCCTCGATGCAATCACAGTTTTGATTTTTTTCCCCTTGTCTCTTCAAGAACTTCATATTAATGGAATCATCCAGTCTCAGGAGCCTTTTGTGTAAGGCTTCATTTGTTCAGCATAATAATTTTGAGGTTCTCCCATGTTACTGCAATTAATTTTTTAATAGATAAAGCCTTCGCATAGCTCAAAACAAAGAAAGAGCATGTTGTGAGAGGTCTTGCTTTCCGCCTATCTTCATCTGACCTTCTCCCACTCCCCACAGGTAACGACTTTACTCATTCCTTGGGTGTCCATCCCAGCAGTGGTTCTCAGCCTTCTTAATGCCGTGACCCTTTAATACAGTTCCTCATGTTGTGGTGACCCCCAACCATAAAATTATTTTTGTTGCTACTTCATAACTGTAATTTTACTACTGTTATGAATTGTAATGTAAATATCTGATATGCAGGATGTATTTTCATTGTTCGTGACCCACAGGTTGAGAACCGCTAGATTCTAGGGTTTGTTTATGCCAAGACAAACAACCATAAGCATACATTCTTACCTCTCCCCTGTCTTAGAAAAGTGTGCTTTACTGTGTGCTCTGTTTTGCACTTCGCTTTTTGCACTGAACTATTCATTCTGTTTCCATATCGATGGATAGAGAGCCTTCGCTTCTTTCTCACAGCTGCACCCTTCTTTATCACATGGGTGCATCATAGTTCATTGAACTCAGTCCCCCATGGATGGATACTTTGCTCTTGATGGCAAATGGTACTGCAGTGAATATTCTCAGACCTCACTCATTTTATGAGTGTGCAGGTGGATCTGTGAGATTAACAGCCAGGTGGATTAAAGTAGGTGTTCTTGAGATCGAGGGGGATTGAGCACAAACTAAGGGGGGCTTCAAATCCCTTGAAATTATGTGCAGAATTTTGCACATGAAAGAGGGTCCATTGCTTTTGTCAGTGACCTGACACAAGTGTAAAGCTCCTGGTTGAATCATGGCAGGATGTCCACAAGATGTTAGGAGAACAAAGGAGTTCATGAAATGGTGACATTAGCATGGTCTCATTGTTTTTAGAAAAATATAAAAGTATTTAAAGGTAGAAGACAAAAATATTTCAGGACTTACAAATGTGTGTGTGTGTGTGTGTGTGTGTCTACAGCAATATGGGTGATTTGTCTTTTCTGTTTTGCTCATACACATTTTGGAAGTTTTCTGTAATGAACAAATATTACTTGTATTATTTAAAAACTAGCCGAAACCGGTTTGGCTCAGTGGATAGAGCATCGGCCTGCGGACTGAAAGGTACCAGGTTCGATTCCGGTCAAGGGCATGTACCTGGGTTGCGGGCACATCCCCAGTAGGAGATGTGCAGGAGGCAGCTGATCGATGTTTCTCTCTTATCGATGTTTCTAACTCTCTATCTCTCTCCCTTTCTCTCTGTAAAAAATCAATACAATATATTAAAAACACACACACACACAAAAAAAAACTAGAGGCCCAGTGCACAAAAATTTGTGCACTCGGCGGGGGTGGGTGGGTCCCTCAGCCCAGCCTGTGCCCTCTTCCAGTCTGGGACCCCTCAGGGAATGTCCACCTGCTGACTTAGGCCTGCTCCCCGGGGAATCAGACCTAAGCTGGCAGTCAGACATCCCTCTGGCAGCCTGGGAGCCCTCAGGGGATGTCCACTTGTCAGCGGGGAGCAGGCCTAAGCTGCAGTTGGACATCCTTAGCACTGCTGGGGAGGCGGGAGAGTCTCCTGCCACCACCGCTGTGCTGGCAGCTATCAGCCTGGCTTATGGCTGAGCAGAGCTCCCCCTGTGGGAGCACACTGAACACTAGGGGGCATCTCCTGCATTGCGCATCTGCCCCCTGGTGTTCAGTGTGTGTCATAGTGACCAGTCATTCCCAGTCTTTCTGCTGTTAGGGTAAATTTGCATATTACCCTTTTATTATATAGGATAGAGGCCTGGGGCACAGGTGGGGGCCAGCTGGTTTGCCCTGAAGTGTGTCCCGGATCAGGGTGGGGGTCCTGCTGGGGTGCCTGGCCAGCCTGGGTGAGGGGCTGAGGGCCGTTTTCAGGCTGGTCACACCCCCTTCAGGGTGGGGGTCCCCACTGGGGTGCCTGGCCAGCATGGGTGAAGGGCTGATTGCTGTTTGCAGGCTGGTCAAGCCCCCCAGTGGGGACCCTCACCCCATGGGGGTTTGGCCAGCCAGGGTGAGGGGCTGATGGCTGTTTGCAGGCTGGGCACAGCCCCTTCAGGGTGGCGGGGGGGGGGGGGTCCCACTGGGGTGCCTGGACAGCCTGGGTAAGGGGCTGATGGCCATTTTCAGGCTGGCCATGCCCACGGGCTGGAAGCAGATATCTGGGATTTATTTAACTTCTATAATTGAAACTTTGTAGCTTTAAGCAGGTCCCAGGTTGGGTTGCCCCTGGCAACCAAGGCCCCCAGCCCCTCCTTGAGCAGAGGCCACGCTGGCTGGATTCAGGTATCTGGGATTTATTTATCTTCTATAATTGAAACTTTGTAGCCTTGAGCGGAGCTCAGGGCAGGCCAGGGCAGGCGGGAAGCTTGGCTTCCTCCATCGCTGGGGGCAATGCAAGCCTCCTGCTCACTCCAGCTCTGTGGCTGCAGCCATCTTTGTGATTGACTGACGGAGTGAGGAGTGATGGTTAATTTGCATATTACTCTTTTATTAGTTAGAATGGAGATCACTGCTCTTGCAGAGCAATAGATTTGAACAGTGATCCCTGGGCTGCTAGCCTATAAGTGTGGGGCCCTGGGCTGTCTCAGTCACTGCTATGTCCACAGCGCTGCCTCACACAGACCTGGATACACAGTAGGGCTCTTGGAGGTTTTGCTGATTAACTGAATGAATGAATGAATGAATGAATTATCATATCTTCAGACCACCATTCATGCTGTTCCTTCTGCCTGTTACTCCATTTTTATACCCCATACTCTTGTCTAAGAAGAGAATATGTGGAGAAAGCATAAGAAAGATGCTCAGGAAAAGGAAATGGGTCCAAGGGACAGAGGGACATATTCCTTATCTCTGGCAGACTCTCTCCACTGGGACATTTGCGAAGGAATACTCTTCCTAGTCCCTATTTTTATGGCTCTCTCTTACTAATCTTTTACAGCTCAGCTCAGCTGTCACTTCTTCCAGGAAGACTCCCCTGACCTGCAAGGTTGGGTCTGCCCTTTTCTAGGTTCCCACAGCCTCCTGTGCCTTCACCCCAGCCTGTCCATTCTGACCTTTCTAGTGGAATGTCTGTCTTCACCATTGGACTGGGAGCCCCATGAGAGTAGGGTCAGTTGTCTTGGTCATCGCTGGATCTCCATGATTTCCCAGCACAGGCTAGGCAGATTGAGTGCCCGGTGAGTGTTTACTTGACAGGGCAGTGCCCTCATTCACTCACTGAGTGCCTACTGTTCTATCAGGCACTGTTCTAGGCACTGGGAATGAAGTAGGGTTCAAAGCAGACAAAGATCCCTATCTTTGTGGATCCCTGGCAGTCTATGGAGTTAGACAGATGATACGTGCAAATGATATATTAGAAGGTTAGAAACTATGAGAACAAAATAGAGCAGGAAAGAGTTGCCATATAAAATAGGATGGTCAAGTATGGCCTCGTTGAGATGGTAACATTTGAGGAAAGCTTTTGTAAGAGGCCAGGAAGTGAGCTATGTGTGCATCTACCAGTGGTTCTCAACCTTCCTAATGCCTCGACCCTTTAATACAGTTCCTCATGTTGTGGTGACCCCCAACCATAAAATTATTTTCGTTGGTACTTCATAACTGTAATTTTGCTACTATTATGAATCGTAATGTAAATATCTGATATGCAGGATGTATTTTTATTGTTACAAATTGAACATAATTAAAGCATAGTGATTAATCACAAAACAATACGTAATTATATATGTGTTTTCCGATGGTCTTAGGCGACCCCTGTGAAAGGATCATTCGAACCCCAAAGGCGTCTCGACCCACAGGTTGAGAACAGCTGATATATGTGTTTTCCGATGGTCTTAGGCAACCCCTGTGAAAGGGTCGTTCGACCCCCAAAGGGGTCGCGACCCACAGGTTGGCGACCCACAGGTTGAGAACCGCTGACTAGGGAAGAACATTTTATTCCACAGGGATAGTAACAGCAAAGATCCTGAGGCTTGATTGGTGGCAGTAATAGGAGGGAGGAATCCCACTGCAGCTGGAGAGGGTCTGAAGGCTGGACCACATGAGATGTGACCACTCCCCTCCCTTCTCATCCTTCTGCAGATTGACAACCAGCGCTCGCGCCTGCCTGCTTCCCTGGCTGAGGGTGGCCTTCGTGTGTACCAGAGTGGGAGGCGGGCCATAGTGGAGCTGGACTTCGGGCTGGTCGTCTCCTACGACTGGGACTGCCAGCTGGCACTGAGCCTGCCCACACGCTTCCAAGGCCAGGTGTACGGACTGTGTGGCAACTACAACGGCAATGCCACTGACGACTTCCTCACACCTGATGGGGAGCAGGCTCCTAACGTTGTGGAGTTTGCCAGTAGCTGGAAGCTGGATGATGGGGACTTTTTGTGTGAGGATGGCTGCCAAGACAACTGTCCCACCTGCACCCCAGGCCAGGCTCAGCACTACGAGGGCGACCGTCTCTGCGGCATGCTGACCAAGCCTAATGGCCCCTTTGCCGCCTGCCATGATACCCTGAGCCCCTGGCCCTTCCTGAAGGAGTGTGTATACGACCTGTGTGTGCTCAATGGGGACCGCTCCAGCCTGTGCCGTAGCCTCAGTGTCTATGCCCAGGCCTGTCTGGAGCTTGGCATCTCTATCAAGGACTGGAGGTCACCAGCCAACTGCCGTGAGTGATGTCCTGGTGGGGGCTGGGAACACATGGAGAGAGGCAGGGGACCCCTTACATCTGCTCAACATCTGAACACTTAGTGTGGTTCAGCCTGGAGCTGGATCATGGCAGGGACATGGAGATGGCCAAGATGGCCAGGCTGTGCCCACAGTGAGCCTAAGGTTGGGGCAGACATATCACTTGACAGTGACAGTCCAGAATGGTCATGGCTAGGTTGGTGGAGGCATAGACAGAACAGTCAGGGAAAGCATGGGGAAGTCCAAGGGGTCTATGGGAGACTAGAGCAGTTTTCAGACTCAGTCTGGGGGAGTAAGGAGGATTTATTAGAGAAAAGAACACCCAATCAACAACCCATAGGAAGACTAGGAACTAGATAGGAAAAGGGGAGCGGGAAGGGAGTTGCAGGCTGAAGTAAGAGCACATGATAAGCTTGGCATGAGAGGTCATCCTCAAAGCAGAAATGTGAACACTTCTCTATAGCCCTTCCATGACTCCCCAATGTCCTCTGGATAAATACCAAGCTCCTCAGCCAGGTGTCCATTCCCTTAATCATTCTTTCACTCATTTATTCATTCATTCAACAAGCATTCCCCAAGTCCTTATCTGTCCCCATCTCCGAGCTGGTGATGTTCACCCACCTGCTCCTGCCCCTGTGAGGTTCTCAGGGGCAGAAAGGCTAGAAGGGAGGAAGGAAGAAGCATCCAGGCCCAGGCCCAAGGCTTGAGGGGGAGTAAGTCTGGAGTAGATACTGAGGTCATTTGGGGTTTGTCTTGGTCATTGTTGTGTCCTCGCTGCCCAATTCTCACTCCCCTCTGCAGAGTTCCCTAATGCCTAGTGCAGAAGAGGAACCAGGGAGTTCACTCATGCACTGGGCCAGGCCCTGTCCTTGGTGCTGAGGATTCAGCTGTGATTGGGCAGACCTGGTCCCCACTCTCACAGAACTTATGTCCTATCAGGAAGACAGCCAGCAAGCAATAAGCTGGAATATCTCCAGAGAGCAAAAGAAATAAAGTTTATGTAATAAGAGCAAATGGGAGGATCATGAAGAAGGTGCTTAGGGAACGCCTTTCTGAGGAGGTGACACAGGGGCAGAGACTAAGGATAAGGCAACAGAGTCAGCTAAGTAATACCAATGATGCTACACAGACGAACTCATGTACTCCTCCCAACAACCTGTGAGGTCGGTACTATTATTATCCCATTTTACTGAGAGGGAGACTGAAACACAGGGCAGTTGGAATCATTTGCTTATGATCACACAGCTAAGAAGGGAGAGCCAGGATTTGAACCCAGCCCATCTGGGCTTCAGTAGCCTTCTCTTAATAACATGCTGTACTGCCTTCCGAGGGAAGTCCAACACAGGCATAGGGGCCTGAGCGGAGAGTGCGAGGATCCGTGAGGAGGCCCCTGTGGCTAGGGCAGAGTAAGGCAGAGAGAAAATGAGAGGAGAGGATGAGAGGTGATGAGGGCAGATGGTGTGGGGCCTCCTGGGCCACCAGGAGGACTCTGGCCTTCACTCTGAACAAGATAGAGCCACAAATGGGCTCTGAGCAGGAGACGGGTGTCATCTGACTCAGGTGTTCACAGGGTCCCCATGGCTGCGAGTGAGGGGGCAAAGGGGAGCAGGGCGGAGGCTACTGGAGTGGATGGGGCAGAGGCGGAGGGGACGGGAACGGTGATGATAGGAGAAGGGGGCAGATTCTGGGTAGACTTTGAATATGGAGCTCCCAGGATTTACTGACAGGTTGGTTGTCCAGGGAAAGAAGGGAGGAGGGGTCTACTCTGACTCTGAGGTTTGAGGCCTGAGCGCCTGAAGGATGGGGAGCGCTGGGGGAAGAGCAGGGTTCTTTGGGGAGGGAAGCCCTGGCACTTTCCCGACTGAGAGTCCCTCGAGGGCCCCACTGCGTTGGCCTGACCCCTTATCCCTGTCTCCCCGCAGCCCTGTCCTGCCCTGCCAACAGTCGCTACGAGCTCTGTGGCCCCGCCTGTCCCGCCTCCTGCAACCCCACTGCTGCTCCAGCCAACTGCTCCGGGCGCCCATGCGTGGAGGGCTGCGCGTGCCTCCCGGGCTTCGTGGCCAGCGGCGGCGCGTGCGTGCCGGCCTCGTCCTGCGGCTGCATCTACGAGGGCCGCCCGCTGGCTCCGGGCCAGCAGGTATGGGCGGATGAGCGGTGCAGGCGGCGCTGCACCTGCAACGGCGCCACGCAGGAGGTGAGCTGCAGCGACACGCAGGGCTGTCCAGCTGGAGAGCGCTGCCGCGTCCAGAACGGCCTCCTGGGCTGCTATCCCGACCGCTTCGGGAGTTGCCAGGCGTCTGGGGACCCGCACTACGTGAGCTTCGATGGCCGGCGCTTCGACTTCATGGGCACCTGCACCTACCTGCTGGCCGGCTCGTGCGGCCAGAACGCGGCCCTGCCCTCCTTCCGGGTGCTGGTGGAAAATGAGCATCGGGGTAGCCAGACCGTTAGCTACACGCGTGCTGTGCGCCTGGAGGCCCGCGGCGTGAAGGTGGCGGTGCGCCGGGAGCATCCCGGGCAAGTGCTGGTGAGCACCAAGCAACCCGGCCCAGTGGAGAAGGAGGGCGGGCATTTCTCCCCAAGAGTGGGTGGGGCTGTTAGAAGGCCCGTGGTCAGTGAGGAAAGCCGGGGTCCCAGTCAGGCGCCATTGCCTCTCCTTGACTGTGTGACGTTGGCTCTCCCGGCCTTAGTTTTGTCCTCTGTTAAATGAGATAATAAGAAGGTGCCTGAGTAGAAGCCCCTTCACAAGGTGGTTGTGAGAATTAGCCCAGTTAATATTAGTAGAGTATTTAAAAGACCCTTGAGGCCCAGCAGATGCTCAGTAAATGTTAACTTAATATTGTGTTGATGTGAACCCTCCAAAGTTATAGATTTTTGCATTTTATGGTTGATTTTCAGAGGGTAAGGCGACCTGTAAAAGGTCGGGAACTAGAGGTGTGGGCTTTGGGGCCGGGGGGGGGGGGGGGGGGGGGGGCGGGGGGGTTGGCGGTGAGAGGGGAGAGTGAAAGAGCAGCATGCTTCTGGGCAGAAGGCTCTCAGGTGGCCCACCACCCAGCAGACGTCAAGAGCCACTGCTTCACTCTTTTAAAAAAAGATAAAAATCGGGAGGTGGGGTTGTTGTAAGATTCACAACAATAAGTTGATAATTATTATCGAGAAGGTTGGGCAGCGGCCCAGGCTTTCAGGAGGAAGATGAATGGGAAATGGAAAACCAAGGGAATTTTCATGTGCCAGGCACTGTGCCAAACACTTTACAGGCCTTAACTCTTAATCCTGTAAACCCAATGCTGTTGGAGTAAAGGAAATTCTTCCCACAAAGCCTAGTGTTTGACATGGAGAAGCCCCTTGATAAGCAGAGGACATAAATGCCAATATTCATGTTCTCACCTCTCTGAAAAGACATTTAAGCGGAGGCTTGGATAATAATAGCCAACATATATTCTTACTTCGATGTGTTAAATGCATGACCTACAGTAACTCAATGAATTTCTACAGCAACCTTGTGAAATAGCTGATCTTGTTAGATGAGGAAACTGAGGCACAGAGAAGTTAAGTGACTACTTACTCAAGGGTACACAGCCAATGAGTGGCAGAGCCAGGATTTGAAGCCAAGCTTCTCCAGAATCCATACCCTCAAACACTACCTTCTATTGCCTCTCCCAAAGAAAGAGCTGGAACAGGCAGGGCGATAAGTGGATGGAAAGGTGTTCCTGCTAGAAAGAACAGCAAGTGCAAAGACTTCGAGGGAGGAACAAACATGAGAGGTAGCGGAACATCATGGAGGCCAGTGGGGCTAGAATAGAGGGAGAGAGGGAAGAACGAGGTAGGGGATAATGGAGGGGATTGCTGTGATAGAGGCATTTGATTTAAGTTAAAAACTAAAAGATGAGGAAGAGACCACCAGGGGAAAAGTAGTTATTCCTAGGCAGGGGGAACAATAGGTGCAAAGGCTGAGGCTGGGCTGAGCTTGAAGAGTGTAGAACAGCATGGGGCCAATGAGGTTGCCCCTGAGAGAGTGAGATTAGGAAGATGGAATACAGAGGCTGCTAGGAGATGAGATCAGAAAAGTGGGGACAAGCAGGGCCTGGTGGGTAGAAGGGTTCTATTTTAAGCTGAGAGGTGAAAGAGGCCAGGCAAAGAATAGGGATGAGGAAGAGGGTAGAAATGTGGCAGTGAAGGGTATAGCAAGTGCAAAGGCCCTGAGGCTGGGCTGAGTTGGGTGAGTTCAAGAGAATATCAAAATGCCTGCATGACTGGAGTTTCAGAGGTGGGGAATGGGATAATTAAGTTGAAGAGTAGTGGGTCTTAGATCATCTAGGGCTTTTTAGGCCATTGTAAGGGGTTTGGAGCAAAGCTGACACCTAAAAGGTGAAGTAGAGGTGGCCAAGTGAAGAGTGATAGGTGGTATTCTAGGAAGAGGGCAAAGCAAGTGCAAAGGCCCTGAGGTAGGAATGTACTTGATATGTTCAGGGAGACATCGAGGAGGCTAAGCGAGTGAGGTGGTAGGTGTTGCAGGCACAAAGGTGGAGAGAGCCAAGGTTAAGCAGGACCTTCTAGAGTAGGGACTTGGATTTAAGCCAAGTACTGAAGGATGAAGGGAAAGCAGCCAGGACAAAAGTACTAGCTGATGTTCTTGGCAACGTAAAAAGGCCCTAAAGTTAGACAAAATTGGAAGAGTTAGAGGAATATCAAGAAAGCCAGTGTCGCTGGAGCAGAATAAGTGAGGAGGAGAGTGTGAAGAAGTGAGGTCAGGGAGGTCATGGGGAGACAGAGTCTGAAGGCTTTGAAGGCCATGAGTTAGGGACTTGGATTTAAGTTGATGCTTGAAGTATGAAGAGAGGCGAATGGTGTGCTAGGCAGAGGGAACGGCAAGTGCAAAGGCTCTGAGGGGGGACCAAGCGTAATGTGCTCAAGGGAATAGCAAGAAGCTGAGACTAGCTGGAGCTGATTGAATGAGGGTTGGGCTACAGAGCCATGAATACACCCTGACCCCTTGGCTCTCCTGCATCTCTACCCAGGTGGATGGCATCCTTCAGTACCTGCCCTTCCAGGCAGCAGATGGGCAGGTCCAGGTGTTCCGCCAGGGCCAAGATGTAGTCATTCGCACAGACTTTGGCCTGACTATCACCTATGACTGGAATGCCCGTGTGACTGCCAAGGTGCCTGGAAGCTATGCCGGGGCCCTGTGTGGGCTCTGCGGGAACTTCAATGGGAACCCAGATGACGATCTAGCTCTGCGGGGTGGGGGCCAAGCTGACAATGCACTGGACTTTGGGAACAGCTGGCAGGAGGAGACAAGGCCAGGTTGTGAAGCAACCAAGCCAGGTGACTGTCCCAAGCTGGATTCTCTGGTGGCCCAGCAACTGCAGAGCAAGAAGGAGTGTGGGATCCTTGCTGACCCTAAAGGGCCCTTCCGGGAGTGCCACCGCAAGCTGGACCCACAGGGTGCTGTGCGTGACTGTGTCTACGACCTCTGCCTGCTACCAGGCCAGTCTGGGCCACTGTGTGACGCGTTAGCTGCCTATGCTGCTGCATGCCAGGCCACTGGGGCCACTGTGCACCCCTGGAGGAGTGAGACACTTTGCCGTGAGTACCAGTAGTGGAAACTGGGGTCTCAGTCCTGTGTGTATTCATGAACATATAAATATCATTAATTCACTTAATTCTTATAACAGCCGTATGAGGTAGGAACTGTGGTTTTGCCCATTTAAAAGATGAAGAACCTGAGGCTCAGAAAGGATCAGTTACATGCCCAGGATCATGGCAGCTAGAAAATCACAGATGCAGTAAATATTTGTAAGGTGACTGGATACATCTGGTGGCCTCGGGTCTGGTTGCCATAAGGCAGTTGTCATTCAGAGATGAGCAGTGGTACTGCCTTTAGAAGGAGCCCTGTTCCCTCTTTTAGTTCTTCTTGGTCCCCATCTGGTCTACTTCACTCATGTACAACATCTGCCTGGCCCCTTGGGTAGTCAATTTGAGACCCTTGCATCTGATGTGGCTGCAGGAATGGTCTTCACACAGTTTTGCTTGCCTATAAGAGAAGTTCACAAAGCCATGCATCCCTTCACCTGATTTTTACATTTTAAAATTTATTGTTGAAATATAAAACACATGTTTAAATATACATAAGTAGAAGCTTAACCATTTTTCAGCAAGAGAACAAATTTGCATAACCTGTCCCAAGAATCATAAAAAAGAGCATACAAGGCCCCTCCACTGCCTCAGAAGCCCCTTCATGCCCTCTTCCTGGCCCTATAACCCAAGAGGTAACCACTATTCTGACATCTAAAGTTTCTGAACTTAATATAAGTGCAAGTTTACATCTATAGTTTCCATTCCACAGAATAATGAGAAACAATAAGTACCTGTTGTTTTAATTCACTAAGCTTTGGGGATGTTTGTTACCCAGCAAAAGCTACCTGATGCAGTGATCAAAAAAGAGACTTCAGTGTATATAACTATGTTACAATAGGTTAAATACTGTTGAAACTAAAAACCAGTTCACCAGTTCCTTGACATCATCCAAAACCCAACCTGGGTTTCAGTTTCCCCAGTTCTCTAAGAAAAATGTTTTTTTTTCCAGTTTATTTGAATCTGAATTCAGACTAAGCCCACACAGTGCATTGGTTTGATTTTTCTTAAATCACTTTTACCCTGAAACAGTCTCCTCCCTTCTCCCCCAATATATTATTATGGAATTTTTCAAACATACAGAAAAGTTGAAAGAATTTTAGCTCTAGTGGGTTTGGCTCAGTGGATAGAGCATTGGCCTGTGGACCAAAGGATTCCGGGTTCAATTCCAGTCAAGGGCACATACCTCAGTTGCCGGCTTCTCCCTGGCCTGGGCCCTGGTCAGTGCGTGTGCAGGAGGCAACCAATTGATGTATTTCTCTCACATCAATATTTCTCTCTGTCTTTCCTTCTCTCTTCCACTCTCTCTAAAAATCAATGGGAAAATATCCTCAAGTGAGGATTAAAAAAGAAAAAGAAAAAAAAAAGAATTTTATACTTGCCATCAAGATTCTACAGTCTGTATCTTATTATATTTTCTTTGTCTCATACTTATCCCTCTATCCACCCTCCCTTTTGTTCATGCCACTTATTTATTGGAAAATAACAGGTCATTTGCCCAGATTTCCTATTGTCTGGACTTGGCTAGTTGCTTCTTTACAGTGTTATTTAATTTGTCCCTTTGTCTAGCCTAGTGCTTCCCAATGTGGGGCATGCACCCCACAGGGGGGCAATTTGACTTTTAAGGGGGGAAATTCGAGAATGAGTTATTAACAGTGAATTTTTTGCATTTCTTATGGTTCTAGGGGCCTCATATTCAGCATATAAGTATACTAGTATATTGTGACATATTTATGCATTTCAGGTCTCTATTATGTTTTGAAATTTTATTTGCTATTTTTTCATATCACTCGCATTATTATTATTTTTTTTAACAATTTCTTAGTGATTTCTTCCTTAGTACTTCAACTGTCCTTTTGTTCTTTTATTTTTCTCTTTCATTGATGCCATGTTCTTTGGAAGCTTGTTTAGACCAAATTAATGGCCTTTTAGGCTTCATCCATGAAAATAGGAGTTCACTTTTTTTAAGATATATTTTTATTGATTTCATAGAGGAAGGGAGAGGGAGAGAGAGATGGAAACATCAATGATGAGAGAGAATCATTGACTGGCTGCCTCCTGCACACCCCCTACTGGGGATCGAGCCCACAACCCAGGCATGTGCCCTTGACTGGAATTGAACCCGGGACCTTTCAGTCCACAGGCTGACACTCTATCCACTGAGCCAAACCAGCTAGGGCTAGGAGTTCACTTTTTGAATAATAAGAATAATGTGTCACGGGGGCGGGGGGTGGAGGGGGCGGTGTATCAGGATTTTAGAGATGCGTAGGTGGGGCATGGCCAAAAAAAAGGTTGGAACCACTGGTGTAGCTGGATTTTCTTGTAAACTGGATATTAGATCTAGAGCAGTGCTACTCAATAGAACTTCGGTGATAATGGAAATGTTCTGTATGGGAGTTGTCTCATATGGTTGCCACTATCACATGTGGCTATTGAGCACTTGAAATGGGGCTATTGTGACCAAGAAACTAAATCTTCCATTTTATTCCATTCTAATTGCATTACACTTAAATGGCCACAGTGGCTATTGTATTGAGCTGCACAGATAGAGGACTCTGATTGGGTTCAGTTTTAGTTTCTCATTGTTGTTGGTGGTGGTGGGTTTTCTTTTAGGAGTGAGTAGGGTTTGGAGAGAGGAACAGGGATTTTTTAATTTTTTCTTTACAACATGGCCAAATATTTTAATCTATAGAATTACTACTCCTACTATAGAATAAAAAAGCTAAGAGCACTGCATTCACAAATACACTGCATAGATCACACACACACACACACACACACACACACTCACTATATACATGCATACATATGTTTAAAATACGTACCACATATGCACTTGTTACCAATTTGAATAAGATCACTGAAAACATTACAGATGACCCGAACCACGGCTAAATAAGAAAAAATCCTAATTATCAGTATTAGATGAACTGTGATATAATCTGTTTCCCCAGGCCCCACTCAACAGAGGGAGTCTTTGCAGCTGGACCACGTATGTGTGAATGTGCGTGCGTGTGTGTGTGTGCAGTGTGTGCACATGCATGTGTGTCAGGAAGTCAACTGTGTCACCGGAGTCAGGGATTCTCAATTCTGACAGCTACTTTCCTTGCAGCACTGAGCTGCCCGCCCCACAGTCACTACGAGTTGTGTTCCCGTGGCTGCCCACTGTCCTGTGGAGACCTTCCAGTGCCCGGGGGCTGTGGCTCTGACTGCCATGAGGGCTGTGTGTGCGATGAGGGCTTTGCGCTCAATGGTGAGTCCTGCGTGCCCCTGTCCTCCTGCGGCTGCTTGTACCAGGGCATCTATCATCCTCCGGGCCAGACCTTCTATCCTGGACCGGGGTGCGATTCCCTTTGCCACTGCCAGGAGGGTGGCCTGGTATCCTGTAAGCCCTCCACCTGCGGCCCGCATGAGGCCTGCCAGCCATCTGGTGGCATCTTGGGCTGCGTGGCTGTGGGCTCTGCCACCTGCCAGGCGTCAGGAGACCCTCATTACACCACCTTCGACGGCCGCCGGTTTGATTTCATGGGCACCTGTGTGTACGTGCTGGCTCAGACCTGTGGGACCCGGCCTGGCCTGGACCAGTTTGCTGTCCTGCAGGAGAATGTGGAGTGGAACAATAAGAAAGTCAGTGTGACTCGGGTGGTCACTGTCCAGGTGGCTAACTTCACCCTGCGGCTGGAACAGAAACAGTGGAAGATCAAGGTGAGAGCAGGGATGGAACCTGAAGGGGGTGGGGGTGGGACCCAGGCAGCACTCAGCCCAAGGTCAGGAGACATAGGGCTCAGAGTGGATGTGGGAGGCATGGGGCTCCCAAGACGAGGGCTTGCCAATCAGAGCCCAGAGTGGGGAGCCAAGGGACATGAGACCTGTTTTCATGTGGCTCAGTCTTCCCTCTCTCTGCCCTTTGACTATTCCCTCTGAATGTCTCTCCCACACCCTCTTTCCTTCCCCTCCATCTTCCCCTCCATCCTGGTCCTTGCCCCAGCCACTTCCCTAGTCTCCCAGCCTGTGGCAGAACATGATGCAATCAGAGGTTGGTAAAGTTCAAGGATGGGAAAGGGGTCAAGGACAGAGGATGATCTGTGGATAACGCCATCACTCCTTAATAGCCACAACCACAACAAATTAGAGAATTATGGTTTTAAACAGCTGACTCCAGGCCTTGGCGGCTAAGCTCTTCATACCTATAGTGTCATTTGGTCCTCCCAGCAGTAGCTAGAGTGCCATGATTTGCTTTATTTTTTCGAGGGGAAGTCTCATCATTGGCCCAAAGGCCCCCAGCAAAAGCAGGACTTGAACCCAAGATGTTGTGCCAGGAGACAGCATGCTGGGCCCTGGGTGCTTTGATGCTTTTCTGGTCGAGAAGGATTTGGTCTCAGATGGGAACTGGCATTTCAATTACACTAGAGGGTTTTCCCCCAGAGATCCCACTACAATTCAGGCACATGGCTGTTGTACTAGTAGCAATATTGACAATGAGGATGCTGATGAATAGCTGACTATTTCATGTGCTCATGGATTTCATGTTTATATATAGTCCCTGATATAAGCAAGCTCCTAGAATACCACCTGGCATATTCCTGGCTCAAAATGCACGAGTTGTTGGTATTGTTATTTTCACCTCATTGAATCCCCCAGCTTTGCCATAAAGTGGGAACTATTAATATTCCCACTATACAGATGAGGAAACTGAGGCATGGGAGAGGGGGGTAAGTCACTTGTCCTTAACCACTGCCCATTCCTGCTTGGGAAGAATGGTTGGCTCTATTTAGGAGACTCAGTCAGGAGCATGTCTTTCTCCTACCTTCTCTTCTGATTCCTCACACTTCAAAACAACCTAATGTTCACCGTGTCTGCGTTTTAAAAGGCCGAGCAAGCACGTTAATCAGAGGTGGATTTGCAAGGCTTTGTTGGTGTCCAGCAGCCTTACACTGAAACCAGTGATTTTTGGTTCATGGACTTGAAGTCATTTCCCTAGAAATTTAACCTGACTTTCCACTCACTGATGCTTAAGGCAAAAACCCTTAGCACCCATTTACTCTTCAAAATAAAAACTTCCAGTCATAGCTAATAATAATCGCAAGTGTTCCCAGAACACCCATTCTGAAGGAACACCCATTCTATGCCAGATACGCTTCTTAGCACTTGGCAAATATTAATATATCAAATCCTGACAACAGCACTATGGGGTAAGTACCTCATTCCCACTCAGTAGGTGAGGAAGCAGAAACAGAGAGGTGACCCTCCTGCCCAAGGTCACAGGAAGACTGTAAGGGGCAGAGCTGGTTTGAACCCAGGCAGGTGTCTCTGGAGTCAGGCACCACAGTAAGTGGTGACTAAACAATGACTGGTAAGGTTTTATTCCGTTGAGACCTGGATTAGTTTCTTGTGGCTTAAAACAACAGAAATTTATTTTCTCACAGTTGTGAATGTCAGAAGTCCAAAATCATAGGGCTGCACTCCCTTCAAAGGCTCTAGGGGAGAATCCTCCCTTGTCCCTTCCAGCTCTTGGAGATTCCAGGAGTTCCTTGGCTTGTAACCGCATCTCCCCACTCCAATCCTTGTATTCATCTTCACTGGCCTTCTCTGGGTATTTCTGTGTCTTTTCTTCCGGCTCTTATAAGGCCATTTGCCATTGGACAGAGGGCTCACCCTAATCCAGGATGATCCCATCTCAAGATCATTATCCTAATTACATTCGCAAAGACCCTTATTTAGAATGAGGTCATATTCTAACGTCCTGGGTGGACATATCTTTTGGGGACCACCATTCAGCCCACTCTAAGACCCTATTATAACCAGTTTACAAATATGGAAACTAAGGTCTTACACATCTTCAGGTCAGGCAGGGGGTCTGCCCTCTCAAAGTGTACCCTCTGAAGTATGGCATCTCCTACCTCCCAGGTGAATGGTGTGGACATGAAGCTACCGGTGGTGCTGGCCCAGGGCCGGGTCCGTGCCTCCCAGCACGGCTCAGACATTGTGATCCAGACCGACTTTGGCCTGCGTGTGGCCTACGACCTCATGTACAATGTGCGGGTCACGGTTCCAGGCAACTACTACCAGCAGTTATGTGGCTTGTGCGGGAACTACAATGGCGACCCCAAGGATGACTTCCAGAAGCCTGATGGCTCGCAGGCAGGCAGCCCCAATGAGTTTGGTAACTCCTGGGAGGAGGCCGTGCCTGGCTCTCCCTGCCTGCGGCCACCCACCTGCAAGCCCGGCGAAGACTGCAATCCTCCAGAGTGTGGACCTGAGTTGCAGAATAAGTACCAGCAAGAGCAGTTCTGTGGGCTCCTCACCAGCCCCACTGGGCCACTGGCCGCCTGCCACAAGCTGCTTGATCCCCAGGGTCCCTTGCATGACTGTGTCTTTGACCTCTGCGTGGGTGACGGAAGCCAAGACATTCTCTGCAGTAACATTCATGCCTATGTGAGTGCTTGCCAGGCGCTTGGAGGCTACGTCAAACCCTGGAGGAATGAATCTTTCTGTCGTGAGTAAGGGGCAGAGAAGGCAGAGACCAAAGGGGGGGGGGGCTGGGGTTGAGGCACAAAAGGGGAAGACCTTGGGCCCTGCACCCTCCTTCCCAGGGGCTCTGAACGACACCCACTCTTTACAGCGATGAAGTGCCCCCCCAACAGCCACTATGAGCTCTGCGCAGACACCTGCTCCCTGAGCTGCTCAGCACTCAGTGCCGCCCCACAGTGCCCGGATAACTGTGCGGAGGGCTGCCAGTGTGACCCTGGCTTCCTCAGTGACAGCCAAGCCTGCGTGCCCATCCAGAAATGTGGTTGCTACCACAATGGTGTCTACTATGAGGTAGGAACTGGTCCTCCTGAGCAGATCTGGGGCCTCATCCTGGACCTGCCCTTCCCACTGCCTATCAACCTCTCAGCCTGTCCACTTGGCATCCCTCCTGTCCCTCCCACCCATCCCTCTTCCACAACCCATGGCCCCACTGTGATCCAGTGTGTCCCCTCCTACCTGGCTCCTCCCAGTTCTCACTTTTGCTTCCTTTGATCAATGTCCCCATGGGGGTGGGAAAGACTTGTAAATGTGACCTGGCTTCCCAGGTCAAGTTCTGGCTTTGTATCCGGGTCTAGATTTTGTCTGTTACACCAGTGGCTAACTCCCTCTGCTGCCCTCTCCCACTCTCACAGCTACTCCTTTTCTTTTGATTTGAATGTGTTTGTCTAAAGTCTGTCTCCCACTCTCACAGCTACACCTTTTCTTTTGACTTGAATGTGTTTGTCTAAAGTCTGTCTCCCACTCTCACAGCTACTCCTTTTCTTTTGACTTGAATGTGTTTGTCTAAAGTCTGTCTCCCACTCTCACAGCTACACCTTTTCTTTTGATTTGAATGTGGTTGTCTAAAGCAGTGGTTCTCAACCTTCTGGCCCTTTAAATACAGTTCCTCATGTTGTGATCCAACCATAAAATTATGTTCGTTGCTACTTCATAACTGTCATGTTGCTACTGTTATGAATCGAAATGTAAATATCTGATCTGCAGGATGGTCTTAGGCGACCCCTGTGAAAGGGTCGTTCGACTGCCAAAGGGGTTGCGACCCACAGGTTGAGAACCGCTGGTAAAGTCTGTCTCCCTCAAAAAACTGTGAGCACCATGAGGACAGGGCCCTCCCTGAAGTTCTCCTCATATGAATTCTAATAATAGCACATAGGCAGATGGTGCTTACTACGTTCCGGTTACTGTGTTAAGTGCTGTATGTGTATTATACTATACTATGATATACAAATTTTTCATTATGAAAATTTTCAAATATGCAAAAGAGAACTGTAATAAATCTTCACATACCCATCACTCAGCTTTAAAAAAAATCGACATTTTCCCAATCTTGTTTCATCTCTACCCACTTTCTCTCCAATCTGTATGACTTCAAGAAAATCCTTCTCATTTCATCTGTGCTTTATATGTATTGCTAACTCAGTTATACTTTCATAGGTATGTGTAACTATTATCCGCAACTTACAGATGTGGAAACTGGGGCATAAAGAAGTTGAGTAACTTGCACAGAATGGTATGATTGGAGCAGAGCAAAAACAGGCTTCAGACTCAGGCGGCCTGCTCCAGCGCCTCTGCCCTCTTCACTCTGATACACCATTTATCCGAGGCAGCAGATAGTTAGTGGCTATTTTGTAATAAACAAATGAGTAAATGAATGAAAGTGAGTGAATGAATGAATTGAACCCCAAGGCCATGTGGTGCCTTAGTTTCACACACAAGGGACCACCCTGATGAAAGATGTCCCTTTCCTGTCCTCTGGATCCCTCTGTGCCCAGATCACCAGATGCTGGAGGCAGAGGGCACAGATCCCGCACTGATGACTGTGCCCGCTGTCCCCACAGCCAGAGCAGACGGTACTCATCGACAGCTGCCGGCAGCAGTGTGTGTGCCACGCTGGGAAAGGCCTGGTGTGCCAGAACTACACCTGTGAGGCGGGGCACGTGTGCCAGTCTGTGGCAGGCATCCTGAGCTGTGTCAAAGGTGATGGGCTAGGGCTGGGGCCGTTGTGACTTGGAACAGAGCACAGCGACTCTGGAGCTGAGGGTGGGTGACCTGGATCGTTATGGTGGCAGGCACAGAGGACTAAGGATTGAGGTCTCAGACCTGGGGCACCTGGGCTGGGATTCCCAGGGCCATGGGCAGAGGCCCCCCAGGCTGGGAGGCAGGGACCCTCATGGTGGAGTCCAGGCTGTGGGAGCCCTCAGAGCTGGGCAGATGTCAGAGACCCTCAGCATAAGGGAGGGACAGGCAAACATTTTCTCTAAAGGGCCAGATGGTGCCTGGCCAGTTGGTTGAACATAGTCCCATACACCAAAAAGGTTGTGGGTTCGATTGCCAGTCAGGGCACTTACAGGAGGCAACCGATTGGTGTTTCTCTCACACTTTGATGTTTCTCTCTCTCTCTCTCTCTCTCTCTCTCTCTCTCTCTCTCTCTCTCTCTCTCCTCTATCTAAAATGAATTTTAAAAACATCCTTGGGTGAGAAATTAAAAAATAAAAGACTTAAAAATACACTGAGTGGCCAGATAATTACGACCACCCCATCAGTACTTCATTGACACTTCCAAAAATACTGAATATTGAAAACTTCCTAAGCAAATACTCTCAAAATTTTATTATTATTATTATTTGCATAACTAATTCACTTCATTGTACCGATGGGGTGGTCATAGTAATCTGGCCAGTCATAATCATCTGGTCACTCAATGTATAACATAAAGGTCCAGCTGGTAAATATTTAAACTCGCAGGCCATGCGGTTTCAGTCACAACCACTCAACTCTGCCATCATGGCATGAAATCAGCCACAGACTGTCTAATAGGAGGCGTAGCTCTAATAAAACATTAGTTACCAAACAGGCAGCTGGTGGTGCCACAGTTTGCTGACTACTGATATGTGGGATTAGTCTTGGGGCTTCAGACACCATCCCCAAGGGGTTTGAGAGACTGGCCCCACGGGGACAGGGACAGAGTCCTGAGGTCTCAAGCAGAAACCCCACCAAGGCTTGAGTCTTGGATACAGGGCCCCATTGAGTGGAGGATCAGGACTTTTAGGGAGACCATCTTAGACATGGGGACCTCCCAGACTAAATCTAAGATACAAAGCCACCCCCGGGACTGGTTTCTTAGGGTGACGGGCAGAGAATAATTGCCTTATTTCTGAGGATAAGGAAATGGAACCTCCAGAACAGACTGAGACCTCAGGGCTGATGGGCAGGGTAACAGGGACTCCTAGGGAGGAGGGGTATATTGGTCAAAATCTAATCAGGAGACAGAAACCACACAGCAGCTTGAATAGGGAAAGCTGGATAGAAGGAATTCTTTCCTTGTAATGAGGATGGACACTAAGGAACACGCAGCAGATACGGCCCCTGCCCCTAAGGCTAAAGCAGAGCACCGAGAGAGGGAGGGAATGGGAAGAGGGCCCACCCCAAGGCTGAGAGGAGGTCTCATTGGAAGGTGTGACTGTAGCCCACTGGATGGCCAAGAGGTTGTGCAGGCGGGAGCTGGCGAGCAGGAAAATACCCGCTGCTCAGTGGGTGTCCCACATGCCTCTGGCCGCATGCCCCTGGCCCCCAGAGTCAGATGGGAGTAGATGTTGGGGAGCAGCCAGGCTCATGCCAGGCAGCCCCTCAAGGTCCTCTCTCACCTGCCCCCAGAACTGTGCCATGGTGTGACGTGTCGGCCACAGGAGACGTGCCAGGAGAAGGGAGGCCATGGTGTGTGCGTGCCCAACTATGAGGCCACGTGCTGGCTGTGGGGTGACCCCCACTACCACTCCTTCGACGGCTGGGACTTTGACTTCCAGGGCACCTGTAACTACGTGCTGGCAACAACCAGCTGCCCAGGGGTCAACTCCCAGGGCCTGACACCCTTCACTATCACCACCAAGAATGAGAATCGAGGCAACCCTGCTGTGTCCTATGTGAGGCTTGTCACTGTGACTGCCCTCAACGTCAACATCTCCATCCACAAAGGCGAAGTTGGCAAAGTCCGGGTAAGTCCCCCAGCGTGGTCCCCTGAGCCCCCAGCTGGGCAGGAGGGGTCCTGCCGGCCACAGTCAGGAGCTCAGTGCTCTCTTCACTTAGGCCTGAAACAAAATGGAAGCAAAGCAACAGTCACAGCAACAACATTAGTTCTCTGTTGGGAATTCAATGAGCTCACCCCTTTGCAAAGGGCTTTCATGTCGGACTTCAGCATTTTACCTTTTTCCATAACTGGCTTTGTATCCAGGCTCTCCGTCTGAGCTGTGTGATATTGGGCAAGTGATTACTTGGTGGGTCTCAGTTTCCTCATCTTAGGAATGGGGATCATAGCAGGCCCTGCCCCACAGTGAGGGGGTACACATCAAGTGCTCGGCTGAGGGTCTGACCCCAGGAAGCCACCATGAATATTTGTAGGGAACAAATGAGAGGCCTAGAGACTCCAATGTGGAGCAACATTCAGGGAACTAGAGAGAGAGATGGGTCACCCTTTCTGCCCGGGGTAATGGAGATGCAGGTTAATGGCAGCTCACGGGGGAGGGCGGGCGGGAGTGAGGTGTGGAGCAGGGTAGGTACTCAACAAATGATGGTGAGTGGAAGAGATGCCCAGACACACAGAGGTGCCCAGGGAATCAGGAGGGAGGGAGCAAGTGGGTGAGAGACCCAGAAAAAGACCCAGAGAGAAGGACCAGATGGAGACCCAGAGAGAGTGCGCGCACACACACTCAGAGAAACCCAGAAAGAGAAAGAGATCTAGATGTAGAGAGACAACAGGGAGAGGAAGGGAGGGAGATGGCAATCAAGAGAGATCTAGAAAAAGATGCAGAGGTAGGCTTCATTCCCCAGGACCTGAGCTACAGCAGATGTCCATGTTCGTCAAATGACTATGCGACCATCGTTGTGAGGAAGGCCTTGGCAGCTGCCAGCCATGCAGGCCAAGCGAGGGAGGCAGAGGCCAGGCTGGGCCTCCGCACCTTGAGTGACCTCTCTTTACCTCCCGATCCCCCCTTCCCCCCAGGTGAATGGTGTGCTGACAGCGTTGCCTACCTCTGTGGCTGGTGGGCGGCTTTCAGTGACTCAGGGAGCATCAAAAGCAATCCTGGCAACCGACTTTGGGCTGCGGGTCAGCTATGACTGGAACTGGCGAGTGGAGGTGACGCTGCCCAGTAGCTATCATGGTGCCGTGTGTGGGCTCTGTGGGAACATGGACCGCAACCCCAACAATGACCAAGCCTTCCCTAACCGCACACTGGCTCATTCCATACCCGTCTGGGGTGGAAGCTGGCGAGCCCCAGGCTGGGACCCACTGTGCTGGGATGAGTGTCAGGGGTCCTGCCCAACATGCCCTGAGGACCAGCTGGAGGAGTACCGGGGCCCTGGTTTCTGTGGACCCCTGGCCGCTGACGCAAAAGGCCCCTTTGCAGCCTGCCATGCCCATGTGGCACCTGAGAGCTTCTTCAAGGGCTGTGTTCTGGATGTCTGCCTGGGCGGTGGGGCCCATGACATACTTTGCCAGGCGCTGGCTACCTATGCTGCTGCCTGCCAGGCTGCTGGCATTGTCATCGAGGACTGGAGGACACAGGCCGGCTGTGGTGAGTGCGGGGGTGAACAGGGCAGGACTTGGGGGTGCGGGTCCTGTCTCTGCAGGGCTGGTTTGGTTTCACTCCAGTCCTTCTGGGTCTTTTTATTTCGTTCTCTGTTTTTGTCTCTTGGTGCTTTTCCTGCACCTTCCTGATTGTCTCTCTGTTTCTATTGCTCATTCTCTCTCTCCTGTCGCTGGGTGTCTGTTCGCTCTCTGTGTGTATCTCTTGCTCTGTTTCTCTATCTCTCTGTCCATCCCTAGGGGACTCTATCTCAGTCTCCTCCCACCCTATCCTCCGATCCCGCCCTCTAACACCATTCTCTCTCTTTCTCCTCCTCCCCCTCCTTAATCCACCTGCAGAGATCTCCTGCCCCAACAACAGCCACTACGAGCTCTGTGGCCCACCGTGCCCTGCCAGCTGCCCGTCCCCTGCGCCCCCCACGATCCCAGCCCCATGTGAGGGCCCCTGCGCTGAGGGCTGCCAGTGTGACGCGGGCTTTGTGTTGAGCGTAGACCGCTGTGTTCCTCTGGATGGGGGCTGCGGCTGCTGGGCCAACAACACTTACCACGAGGCAGGCAGTGAGTTTTGGGCTGGTACCACCTGCTCCCAGAGGTGCCACTGCGGACCTGGGGGTGGCTCGCTGGTCTGCAAGCCTGCCAGGTGTGGGCTTGGTGAAGTGTGTGCCCTGCTGCCCTCAGGCCAGTATGGCTGCCGTCCTGTTAGTACGGCTGAATGTCAGGCCTGGGGCGACCCCCATTACATCACTCTGGACGGGCACCGATTCGACTTCCAAGGTACCTGTGAGTACCTGTTGAGTGCACCCTGCCACGCACCACCCGCTGGTGTTGAGAACTTCACCGTCACTGTTGCCAACGAGCACAGGGGCAGCCAGGCCGTCAGCTACACCCGCAGCGTCACCCTGCACATCTACAACCACAACCTGACCCTCAGCGCCCGCTGGCCCCGACAGCTGCAGGTAAGGGGTCTGTGGGTCAGACAGGAGCACATGCCAACCCTGAAGTTGCCTGGGAGTGAGTGGCCTGCCAATCCCTGATTACCAAGCACAGGTTCAGAGTACAGGCCTTGGAGCCGGATGGCTTGGAGCGGTGGCTTCCCCACCTCTGAGCTATTGCTTATTCCTCTAAGAAAAGTATCTGCTTCAGAGGGTGGTATGAGGAGCCAGTGGCATCGTGACTAAAGATTATTACTATTATTGCTATTATTACAAGGAGGGAGGTCACGTGCTCAGGGTGCCCACGCCCCTTCCTGCCCCCTCCCACCCACACACCCAGGAGGTAGGAGACAGGATTCCAATCTGAGTCCTGGCCGGTCACTGCCTCCACCCACTCCACACGCCCGCAGGTGGACGGCAAGCTCGTGGCGCTGCCCTTCCAGCTGGACTCGCGCCTGCGCGCGCACCTGAGCGGCCCCGACGTGGTGGTGGCCGCGGCCACCGGGCTCTCCCTGGCTTTCGACGGGAACAGCAACGTGCGCCTGCGCGTGCCGGCGGCGTACGCGGGCGCCCTCTGCGGCCTGTGCGGGAACTACAACCGGAACCCCGCCGACGACCTGACGGCGGTGGGCGGAGACCCCGGGCGCTGGCAGGTGGGCGGTGCCGCGGGCTGCGGGGAGTGCGTGCCCGGGCCGTGCCCCGCGCCCTGCACGCCGGAGCAGCAGAAGCCCTTCAGCGGCCCGGACGCCTGCGGCGTGATCTTGGCCCCGGACGGCCCGCTGGCGCCCTGCCATGGCCTCTTGCCGCCCGCGCAGTACTTCCAGGCCTGCTTGCTGGACGCCTGCCAGGCCCAGGGCCATCCCGGAGGCCTCTGCCCGGCCGTGGCCGCCTACGTGGCAGCTTGCCAGGCCGCTGGGGCCCAGCTCGGCGATTGGAGGCGGCCGGACTTCTGCCGTGAGTACTCATCCATGTGTGGGTCGCAGAGTAGGGGTCTCCCCGCCTCCACCCTTCACAGGGCTCTGAGACCAGAGCCTTCTCCTCCACCTGCCTCTCCCGAGCCAGCTAGCTCCCTCAGAGAAACATCTTGGCCTTCACTCGCTAAATGCACCAGCTCACCTACTGCAGTGGGAGAGACGCTGAATCACCTGGTCAGAAAACCTGGGTCCAGCAGACCCTCGGGGAACATGCGCTCAGATATCTGAGGCAGATAAAGTGGGTTGGCTGACCCCCGTCAGAGCTACACAGCGAGACACACCTGGTGAAGTAGATTCTCCCAGGTACCCCTGGTCACAGAGACCTTGAAAGTTACACCTGGTCAGATGCCCCTGCACTGTTTCAGACACTGAAATACACAGGAATTGGTCCAGTAACATCAGACAGGGACTCTGGTTAGAGATACCGGGCAGATGCACCCAGGTGGAATCCTGACCCTGACAGAGCCCTAGGCAGGTAGATACAGATTCACACGATTCACACCCCAAGATACATCTGGCCCCACCCCCAGTCAGATTCACATCCTGAATACCCACAGCTGGCTTAGATCCGCATAGATATGCATGGTCAGGTTGATCAGGTTGGCACACAACGTGGTCAGAGAGACCTGGTCCCCGGAGCCCCACACTGAATTTCCCGGTTGGATGTGGTGGATCTGACACCCGCTCAGATCCCTGGACAGATTCACTCATGAAAAAGGCAGGTAGAGCATGCAGACCCAGGTGGGCAGGTGCTTCCACTCTGCACCTCCCCCTGGACCATCCCCTCTTGTCCCCACAGCCTTCCAGTGCCCTGCCCACAGCCACTACGAGCTCTGTGGTGACTCCTGTCCTGTGAGCTGCCCCAGCCTCTCGGCGCCAGAAGGCTGTGAGTCAACCTGCCGGGAGGGCTGCGTCTGCGATGCCGGCTTTGTGCTCAGTGGCAACACCTGCGTGCCTGTGGGCCAGTGTGGCTGCCTCCACGAGGGCCGCTACTACCCCCTGGGCGAGGCCTTCTACCCAGGCCCTGAGTGCGAGCGGCGCTGTGAGTGTGGGCCGGGCGGCCAAGTCAGCTGCCAGGAGGGCGCAGCCTGCCAGCCCTATGAGGAGTGCCAAATAAAGGACGGTGTCCAGGCCTGTCACCCTAAAGGCTGTGGCCATTGTGTGGTCAGTGGGGGCATCCACTACATTACTCTTGATGGACGTGTCTATGATCTGCATGGCTCCTGCTCCTATGTCTTGGCCCGAGTCTGCCACCCACAGCCTGGGGATGAGGACTTTGCCATTGTGCTTGAAAAGAATGCGGCTGGAGATCCCCAGCGCCTGGTGGTTACTGTGGCTGGCCAGGTTGTGGGCCTGGCTCACGGCCTGCAGGTAAGTAGACATGGTCTTGCCCTGGGAATCTGAAAGGGGCCCTGCCTTGGGGACACTGAGGGGACAGGATCCCACCCTGGGAAGTTTCTGGGAGACATGGTTCCCCCTAGGGGTCTAAGGAGGACACTGCCCTACCCCAAAGTGACCAAGAGGGACACAGCTCCACCCTGGGAGTCTAAGGGGACAGCCTTATCCTGCCTTATCTGTGGTTCTGTGAGTCCCTGACCCACCTGATCCTTCCACCCAGGTCACTGTGGATGGCGAGGCTGTAGCCCTGCCTGCGGCTGTGGGCCATGTACAGGTGACTGCTGAGGGCCGCAACATGGTTCTACAGACAGCCAAGGGGCTGCGGCTTCTCTTTGATGGTGATGCCTACATCCTCATATCCATCCCCGGCCCCTTCCATGGCCGAATCTGTGGCCTCTGTGGAAACTTCAATGGCAACTGGAGTGACGACTTTGTTCTGCCCAGTGGCACTGTGGCCCCCAGTGTGGATGCCTTTGGAGCTGCATGGCGGGCACCCGGCTCCTCCCAAGGATGTGGCGAAGGATTTGGGCCCCAGGGCTGGCCTGTGTGCTCAGCAGAGGAGACAGCGCCATATGAAAGCATCAAGGCCTGCGGGCAGCTCCGGGACCCCAAGGGCCCCTTCGCAGCCTGCCACCCGGTGCTGAGCCCCTCTGAGTACTTCCGCCAGTGCGTCTTTGACCTGTGCGCCCATAAGGGCAACAGCTCCTTCCTCTGCCGTAGCCTGGCTGCCTACACAGCGGCCTGCCAGGCAGCCAACAAGGCCGTGAAGCCCTGGAGGACAGACAGCTTCTGCCGTAAGTGCCCGTAGGGTTCCCCAAAGGCCTCCAGACCAGGCTTGAGGATGCCCCCTGATCTGCTTCCAGTCCTGCCTGCATCTTAGGCACAGTCCCTCCCTGTTGAAGGACCTCCACCCTAGCTTCTCCCTCAGCACACCCTACTGGCTTCTCTCTGGCCAATTCGCTGACTGGCCCTTCTCAGACTCCTTCAGGGTCCCGTTCTCCAAAACCTCAGATGCCGTTCTCCTTAGGTCTCATCCTGGACCCTTCCTGTGGTGACCTGGAAGGGTGGGTTGGCAGGTCTTTAGTGCACACACAGCCTGAGTCTGCGACTCACCCAGACCCCACAGTATGGGAACATATCCCCTCACATCCCCCAGGACAAGGCTGCAGCCCTCTCAGATCCCCAGGACTCTACCTCTCAGATGCCCCCCAGTGAGGGGGTATCTGCCTCCTTCAGATCCCATGGACAGGGCTGTGTCCCCTCCCATCTCTAGGACAAGGCAGTGGACCCTCATGCCTCTCTGGCAGGGCTGTGTCTCCTTCGTTCTCCTCAGGGCAGGATCTACTTTCAGGGCCATTATCCATCTCCATGGCCTTAGATTTGTCTTCAGTGCTGAGCATGGACACTGTCCGTCTCTAGCCCTGACCTCTCCTGACTGCTAGCCTCAGGATTCCAGTGGCTTCCCGGACACTTCCTCTTGGGCGTCCTTAGGGTTCTTCATACCTGCTGTGTTCCCATATGACATCAGCTTTTTATCCCAAACTTGATCCTCTTATTTCCCAACCCTGGTACTTACCTCAGGGCAGCCATACCATCCACCAGTTGCTCAGCCAGAGCCCTGCGCCCCACCCTGAAGGTTTCCCCTGGGTCCTCAGCTCCGTTTTTGCCCCATCCTCGCCCTGACCACTCTGCCTATACTTCCCCGATGCAGCTCTGATCTCCCTGGGCCAGCACTGTTTATCCCACTGAGGTGATCTCCGGGGCAGGGCCTGGAGCTGTCTTCATCACTTGTGTCCCCAGGGCTCAGTGTGCAGGCATGACCCCACCCTGCCTTCTCTCTCTGCAGCACTCAAGTGCCCTGCCCACAGCCACTACTCCATCTGTACACATTCCTGCCAGGGCTCCTGTGCAGCCCTCTCGGGCCTCACGGGCTGCACTTCCCACTGCTTTGAGGGCTGTGAGTGTGACGATCGCTACCTGCTCTCCCAGGGCATCTGCGTCCCTGTCCAGCACTGTGGCTGCACCCATGACGGCCGATACTTGCCCGTGAGTAGGGGCTTGAGGTGGGCAGGGAGGGTGGAGGGGCTTGAAGGAGACTCAGAACTTCTGTGCTGACCTACTCAAGGATGGGGACAGAGGAGCCATCCACATTTCCTAGCTGTGACATCCTGTATTAGTTTCCTGTGGCTGTGGTGACAAAATGACCATAAATTTGGTAGCTTGAAACAAGAGAAATTATCCCCCCACAGTTCTGGAGGCCATGAATCAGAAATCAGATCACTGGGTCAAAATCAAGCTGTGCTCAGGGCAGCACCCTCTCCAGAGACTCTAGAAGAGAATCCACTGTTTGCCTCTCCCAGCTTTTGGTGGCTGCAGGCATTCCTTGGTTTATGGTCACATCACTGCAGTTTTTGTTTCTGTGTCATACTCCTCTTCTGTGTGTGACATAAAAATTCCCTCTGCCTCTCTCTTAGAAGGATATACATGATTGCACTTAAGGCCTATCCAGGTAATCTCTCAATCTCAAGATCCTTAATTAGTCACATCTGCAAATACCCTTTTCCCATATTAGGTAACATTTACTGGTTCCAGCCATTAGGACTTGATATCTTTAGGGGGCTGGATGGTTGTTATTCACCTACGACAGTCCGCTCCCTGAGCCTCATTTTTGCATCTGTAAAATGGGGTTTATCATCATCCTTGAGCCATTGGTGTCTGAGGATTGGGTGCAGTTTGCACATGAAAGGCACCCACTGAGCACTGGACCTTGCCCTCCACTGCTCAGTAAAATTTACAACAGTGCAGTAGGTAGTACAGCTAAAAACAGTTTAATAATGTAAGTTGAAAGTTAATTTATTTTTGTTATAGGTGATTTATTTTTATTATTTATGTTTTTTTGAGCTCTTACTCTTGTTACCAGACTGCTTCTGGCAAGGTTTGGGACCTTTTGCATGTCAGGTGACTTCCAGGTTCTTGACTTGTGCAGGAAAAAATTCAAGATAAAGTTCAGGTGAAAGTGAAAGTGAGTTATTAAAGCTTAGGACAGTGAGGCAAAAGAAGGTCCTTGGAGACAGGATCAGGAGGTAAACCTGAGATGAGCTGCCACTGCCCACTGCTTTCCTGATTGTCTCATCAGAACTCTTAGCAGTGGTTCTCAACCTTGGCTGCACATTAGAATCACCTGGGAATCTTTTTTAAATCCTGATTTCTGGGCCTCATCCTCCGGAAAGTCTGTTTCTTTGTTACTAATGTTGTGGCCCCACCTCATAACAAAGAAACAGAATTTCCGGAGGATGAGGCCCAGAAATCAGGATTTTAAAAAGATTCCCAGGTGATTCTAATGTGCAGCCAAGGTTGAGAACCACTGTCTTAGAGCTTAGGATAAAGAAGGCAAAAGGACACACCTGAGGAAAGGAGTGCAGGCACACTCAGAAGAAATGTGCTGGCTGGTGTTCTTTGTCCTGCGGGGTTTTATCTGTTTTCTGTGGGCAGGGATTTTAGGGGAGGCGCTAGGGGAGGATCTCCACAGAGTTTTCATTAGATTTCTGGCTGTGTTATTTAGTATGCTGATATTTTAAATGGGCATATAATGGAGTCTGGCCAGTTTTACCTCTATCTTGAATTAGTCTGGATCTAACTGGGTTTTGTCATTTACCTCCATGACTGTGGTGATTTAAACCATTTGCTCTTAGGCGTCTTCAATGAGGGAGGGTAGGGTTTTGTGATGTATTAGCTTGCTGTTAATTGCTCAGCCGTTCCGGCCGTTTGTTCAACCATTGGTCTCAGTTTCCTCATTCCACTTGCCAGGGAATTTTCCTAATTTCCTACTTACCTACCTCATTACTCTGTACCAAGTTTGTTACAAATGTTAATTCATTTAATAATCATAATATCCCATGAGACATTTGAATGATACAAAAATTGCATAAAGAGAAGTCAGCTCCAGGCTACCTATTAGAAAGTGGTGATACTGCGAAGCACAGTCAGCAGCTGGGCTCCCCCTCTGAACTACTAGGCATCCTACTTCTTCAAAAGCGTATTTACTAAATAAGAGAAAGGTGGGTAACCACATTCACTCTCATTCATCCCAGTGTTACTAATGGCAAAAAGGTGGGCTAGCGGGTCTGGATGTGCAGGACTTCTGGAGAAAGAGATGCCAAACTTCTGCTTCTCCAGGTCTCACAGCCAATAGGAAGCCCTTCTTGACCCCCTAGGCTGGGTTAGGTACCTCTGGACTCCCACAGCCCCCTGTCTTTTTCCGTCCCACTCTGCCAGTGCTGAAGGGTTTTTTGGATTTGTGCATCTGGGGTGGAGATACAAATGTGGGAGTCATCAGTTTAGAGATGGTATTTATTTGTTTCATTTCATTCCTTGATTTTAAAGTTTTCGAACTTTTGTTTTTAAAGACTTCAAACTAAAGAAAACTTGCAAGAATAGTACAAAGAACTCAACTGTTGCCCTTTTGCCATGTATGCTTTATCATCCTCTCTATATAAATATATATACATTTTTTGAACCATTGAGAATATGTTACAGACACAGTGCCCCTTTACCTGTAAGTGCTTTAGCATGGGTTTTCTAAGAATAAGGAAATTTGTTTAATGCCACCACAGTACAATTCAAAATCAGGCAATTAACACTAATTCAATACTATTATATAATCTGATGACATAATTCTAATTTCACCACTTGTCCCCATAATGTCCTTTATAACAATCACCCACCCCCAGGATCAGGTCCAATTAAGGAGCAGACACTACTTTTAGTTTTCATGAGATTTAAAAAAATAATTATCTTATTGTTGAAAGTATTACAGGTGTCCCCCTTTTTTCCCCATGGACCCTCTCTTCCACCACCTCCCAGGCCTTCACCACACTATTGTCTGTGTCCATGGGTTATGCATATGCATATGAATTCTTTGGTTAATCTCTCCCCACCTGAGATTCGTCAGTCTATTCCATGTTTCTATGTCCCTGGATCTATTTTGTTTATCAGTTTATTTGTTGAGATCATCAGATAGTAAATAAGATAGAAAGGAAAAAAAAGATCTAAGGACTGAACCTTGGGCAAGGAAGCATTAAGGATTTGGGAGGAACTTGAAAATGGGTGAAGAAAGAGCAGTTGGTTACGTAGGGAAAAAACACACAGGAGAAAGTAGTTTCCTGGAACTGGATTTCCAGGGCCCTATGTTCTGGACTGTGGGTGCCAGGACTCTGAGATGTTTCCTGCTCACCCCTACCTGTGTCTGTTAGCTTTTGCTAGGTTACAAACTACCCCAGAACTTAGTGCCTTAAAATTGCTATTTATTTAGTTCACATTTCTGCAACCCTGCAGTTTGGGCTATGCTCACCTGGATGGTTCTGTTGTCCTCTAGGCTCACTCATGTAACTCTAGTCCCCCAGTGAGTTAGCTTGGAGCTAGCTTAGAGCATCGTCAGTGGGGATTGTTGTCTCTCTTGCACAGGGTCTCTTGTCCTCTGGCAGACCCAGGCTTGTTTTCATGGTGGCTGGGAAGGAGAGTGGGGGAGAAGCTGTAATGTCTTGAGGTCTTGGCATGAAACTGACACAGCACTGTTTCTGCTGCATTGTGAAAACCAAAGCATAGTCTTAAAGCCAACCTGGATCGTGGGGAAGGGGAAATAAACTACATTTCTTAGTGGGAGTTGTTGCAAAGTGATCTGCATGCATCCAGAAGGTTGAAGGATTGTGGTCATTGTTGCAATCGACCACACCACGGTAACCTGGCCCCTCTCTGTGCACAGGTGAACTCCTCCCTGCTGAGCCCAGACTGCAGTGAGCGCTGTTCCTGTTCCTCAAGCACTGGCCTGACATGCCAGGCAACTGGCTGCCCTCTGGGTCGCGTATGCGAGGTCGAAGCTGGGTCCCGGGACTGCTGGGTCCCCCCTGGTCTCTGTTCCCTCTTTATGGGCACCAATCTCACCACCTTTGATGGAGCCCACAGTACTGTCAGAATCCCTGGCATCTACGAGCTCTCTTCCCGCTGCCCAGGAATACAGAAGACCATCCCCTGGTTCCGTGTGCTCGCTGATGTGCACTCTTGCCATGACAAAGTTGAAGCTGTGGGTCAGGTTCACATCTTCTTCCAGGATGGGCTGGTGACTGTGACCCCAAACAAGGGCGTGTGGGTAAGCCTTGGCACGAGGGCGTGTCTCCCTTGGGCTTTGTCTTCCTGTTGCGGTGTCCCTCCCTCCATTCCTGGCTGCCTGTCTATCTTGCTCTCTGTTTTCTTTATCTAGATCTCTACAGTTTGGTCTCTGGATTTGGTCTAACCAACTGAGCTACCTGGCCAGGGACATTTACTTGTTTTGATGTTAGTTTTGACTCTTGGTTGCAAATGACAGAAAACCAAATTCAAATTCCCTTGAGCAAAGTGAATTCATTGGCCCGCATGATTAGAAAATCCAGGGAGAGAGCCTCAGGAGAGGCTGGGTCCAGGTGCCCTGGCAGTATTGTCTGGATGTGTACCTTCATCTTTTAGACTTGCTGTTTTCCAAATCATCTTCATTTTCTGTGACTCCTTACAATATCCCCATGACACAGGAACTGTTACTATCCTCACTTATACTTTCATGTATAATGAGGGAAACTAGAGCCCAAAAAGGCAAAGTCATTTACTCAAGTCACTCAGAGAATGCCTGGGAGACCCAGGCTTGAACCCACCAGCACCCATGCTCTTAACCACTTTGATGGGAACAGGGCGCTGGTGGTAAGTGTGTAGATGCAAGGAACCAAGATGGATTCCAACTACAGTGCTCAGTGGGAATTTCCACTGACACTGTCAATCACAGGCCACGTGATCCTTCTGCTTTCTCTTAGGGACCCCTCAGGCCCATTGTTTGCATCAAGAGTCCGTTCCAGCCCCACGTGCCCCCTCCATTCTGCCCCTTGACTTCCTGTCACCTACAACTGCCTTTTATTTGCTAAACCCATGGATCTCACCACCCCAATTCCAGATTTCTGAGAGAGAGAGAATCTGTTTGGCTTAACAGGACTAATGCTGACTCATAGTCTCCTCATTTATCGTTCATATATGATAGCGCCCATGACCCAAGCATAGATGTCGGGTTGCACTAACATTCCCAGATGAGCACATCTCTGTTTCCACGACCTGTCTATTGATTGCAGAGACATCCACTGGTGTCTTCTAGGTCCAGTCAGGAGATAAAGCCCAGGCTCCACACACTCCTCCCCCAGTGGATGGTTTACATCCTTCCACCAAAGCACGATGGTCCGAGACTCAGCCTGGTGGAAGTAGGGGGGCTGGAGTTCTCTCTTAAAAAAAAAAAAAATATATATATATATATATATATATATATATATATATATGTGTGTGTGTGTGTGTGTGTTTATTTACTCCTCAACTGAGGATATTTTTCCATTGATTTTTAGAGAGAGTGGAAGAGAGAGGTATATCGATGTGAGAAAAACACATTAATTGGTTGCCTGCTGCAAGAGTCCTGACCAGGGCCCGGGCCGGGGAGGAACCTGCAACTGAGGTACATGTCCTTGACCGGAATTGAACCCGGGACCCTTCGGTCTGCAGGCTGACACTCTATCCACTGAGCTAAACTGGCTAGGACTAAATATATTTTTATTGATTTCAGGGAGCAAGGGAGAGGGAGAGAGAGATAGAAACATCAATGATGAAAGAGAATCATTGATTGGCTGCTTCCTGCAACCAAGGGTTAGAGCCCACGACCTGGGCTTGTGCCCTGACCAAGAATCAAACCGTGACCCCCTGGTTCATATGTTGACACTCAACCACGGAGCCACACTGGCCAGGCAGGAGTTCTCTCATTAGTGTACTCTGGACCAATCAGTCCTTTTCTCTGGCCATCTGCTGGATTCATAATTCAGGTTAACGGACACCTCCCCTTTCAAGAAATGATTCTCTACACAGCCAATAGATCCATTCTAAAATTATAAAATGGATCGGGTCATTCTGCTCTTTAGAACTTGCAGTGGCTTTCCCAGAACAGCGTTCCAAACTCAAGCCACCTCCCTTCCATGCCCTACAAGTCCTTGAGAGAACAACTCCTTCTGGCCTCTCCGCCTCATTCCCTGCCTCGTTATGCTAATAACAGGCCAAACGGCCTGTATGTATTTGTACAGAAAGCCAAGCTTGTTCCCACCTCGGGCCTTCTCATTTGCTGTTCCCACTGCAGCAGTGCTCTTCTCCCAGAGACTCTAAGAGTTGGCTCCTGCTCGTCCTTCAGGTCTGAGTTCCAGCATTGCTCCTACAGGGAGATCTTTCCTGAATACCTGCAGACACTCTCACTCTTCATCCCAGTCTCAATGCTATTACTCTCTTTTATTCCCTTCAAGGCTCTTATCACTATCTGGTTATCCATTATTTCTTTGTTTGTGTTGCTGCATTCCTTCATCACTAGATATGATCCTTAGATGGGCAGGAGTCCTGTCCATCTTGGTCATTACTTTGTCGCCAGTACCCACATCAGGGCCTGGACCCTAGGGGGTGCCCAGGAAAAGTTTGGTTTTCTGACTACATTCATCCCTGTTCCCTCTGCATCAGTCCATGTGCTGGGTAACACAGATGGCTCAGACCCAGTCCTTATACTTTTAAAGCTTGAAGCCTGGTTAAACTTTGCATTCACCTCTCTAGCTCTCCTTCGCTGCATCCATCCCTTCTTCTTCTCTCCCTCCTTCTAGCCATCTCTTCTCCCACCTCTTTCCATTTTTCAACTCTCTCTCTCTTCTTCCCTTCCTCCCTCCCCTCCCCTCCTCTCCTCTCCTCTCCCCTCCCCTCCCTTCCCCTCCCCTCTCTCCCTCCCTCCTTCCCTCCCTCCCTTCTTTCCTTCCTTCCTTCCTTCCTTCCTTCCTTCCTTCCTTCCTTCCTTCCATCTGTCTATTCCTTCATCCATTCATCTATCCATCTTTTCAGATCCATCTACCTATCTTTTCTATCTGTCTACATCTCTCTTCAATCATCTGGCAGAGGAAGACTCAAGATACTAAAACATTTAGAAAAAAAGAACTTTCTTTCAAACAAAGTTCTCTAGAGAGTCTAACTTTAGAAGGATTAATTCATCAATGAAAACAGACAACAGTTATATAAAGGAAAAAAACTCATAAGATTACCAGGTTAACTGAGTCTACAGCCTGTGATAGAGAAACAGTAATTTTCTATGCGATCATTATGCTTGCTAGGGCATTACTTGGCTTCAGACATCAGCATTGAAACAAATAAGGGGTGAAGTTACTTTTGTTAGGGAACCACTAACTTACAGGACATGCTCAAGGGTTCTTTTATTTTGAAAACTAGAACTATGTACACAGGATGACACTGGGGTTTGATTGGTTGTTGGTCTATCTGGTACAAAGTAACCCCTTGTATATATGCTTATTGATCTGTTGATCCATCTCTGCATTCATCCTCTCTCTTATCTTCTCTCCGTCCATCCAAATCTCCAACTAAATTATGTGTCCATCTCTCCATCCTTTCAGGTCTTCATCTGTTTCAGCATCTGCTTCTCTGCTTTTGCTCCTTGAGCTTGTTATCTTGCTTGGGGTCTTCATCCCAGTAACATCCCAGCTCTTCTGTGGCTCTAGCCTAACTTCTGTGTCTCCCCCCCGCCCCCCCCCCCAAAAAAAACACAGGTGAATGGTCTCCGAGTCCGAGTAGATCTCCCAGCTGAAGTGTTAACATCTGTGTCTGTGAATCGGAATCCGGATGGCTCCATGCTAGTCCAGCAGAAGGCAGGGGTCCGGGTACAGCTGGGCACCAATGGGCAGCTGACTGTGATGGTCAGCCGTGACCATGCTGGGATGCTGTGTGGTGCCTGTGGAAACTTTGACGGGGACCAGACCAATGATGGGCATAACTCCCAGGGAAATACAACAGTGGAGCACTGGAGAGCACCGGACTTCTCCCCATGGTGAGTTTGTAGCATGGAAGCCAGTTTACTTGGGGCCAGGGCACCTCGATCCTCATGGGAAGGAAGCAGTTGGGTGGGTGCTCAGTCTGTAAGAGCAAGTGCTAAGTGTCTGTCTCTTGCAGTCGTGACTGACCAGTTATCCACTGGAAATGAGGACTTCAGGACCTGATCCCTCTGGAGGCTGCAATAATTCAAGGATGCACTGTATCACTGTGTATTCCCTCTCTGCTGAGCCACTGAGGCTGATTGTGAGAGCATTGAATAAATATCTTAAGCTAAGCTGCATGCCTATGTGTCTTTTTAACTATATACATGTATATTTTGTTGATTTCAGGGAGGAAGGGAGGGTGAGAGAGAAATATCAATGATGAGAATCATCAGTCAGCTGCCTCCTGCACACCCCCCATTAGGGCTTGAGCCCACAACCCAGGCATGTGCCCATAACCTCCTGGTTCATAGGTAGATGCTCAACCACTGAGCCACACTGGATGGGCACCCATGTGTTTTATTCCTGACTTCCTGCCTGCATAGTAGGGTCAGATGCTTGGGGAATCTGGCGCATGATGAATATTTATTGGTGGGTGAAAGGATGGATGGATGGATGGATGGATGGATGGATGGATGGATGGATGGGTGACGACATAGGTGGGTGGATTGGGAGAGGGATGGATGAGGGAGTGAGGAGATGGGGAAATGTACTAGAAGAATGGGTAGATAAAAAGATGAATGATTGGATGGAGGGAAGGAGTAGAAAATGGAATAGGTCTAGCTTTACCATTTTTTTAAAATATATTTTTATTGATTTCAGAGAGGGAGAGAGAGAAACATCAATGAGGAGAATCATTGATAGGCTGCCTCCTGCACACCCCACAATGGGGATCGAGCCTTGCAACTTGGGCATGTGCCCTGACCAGGAATCGAACCAGGACCACTTGGTTCATAGGTCGACCCTCAACCACCGAGCCATGCCAGCCTGGCAGCTTTATCATTTCTAACCCTAGCAAGTTAATTTCTCTGTCACTTCGTTTCCTCATGTGTCTTAGTCCATTCAGGCTGCTGTAACAAAATACCATACAATAGGGGAGGGGGTTATAAACAAATTTATTTCAGGCTCTGGAGGCTGAAAAGTCCAAGATCAAGGCACCAGCAGAGTCAGTTCTGGTGAAAGCCTTCCTGTTTCATAGATGGCTGTCTTCTTGTGTGTGCTCACATGGCAGAAGGACAAGGGTATTATCTGGGGCCTCTTATAAAGGCACTAATGTCATTCATAAAGGTGCCACGCTAATTGTAATTGGACAATCAGTGGGTCCGTGTTGCCTGTCACTACTTGAGCCAATTAAGCAGAGACAGGGTTGAATCATATGTGAGTGTTTATTCCAATACTGCCGGCAGTATGGGAGAGCAGCAGGTCACCCATAAAAATCTGCTCTGCAGCCCCCCGATAAGCCAGCTGTTTATATAGGGTAAGACAAAGATTACACGGGGAAGTAGGGATTACAGGCATGAGGAAGTAGGAGACTGGGGTGAGGGGGACTCCATCGTTTGGGCAACAAGGTTGTTAATCTTTCCATGATAATAGGCAGTTCTTGAATGGAATGGTTTCAAGGTTGATTCCCAGGTCCGAGGCTGGCTCCCAGGCCCTGGGGGCATACAACTCCCAGCCAGGTCAGAATGTCCAGTAATGTTGGTTACTTTAACCAACACAAGGCAATTATGGTTAACAGAACATAATTAATATTTCCCACAACCATAGCTAGTCCCCAATATTCTATTTTTGCCCCTAACATAATGACCCAATCCTCTCCCAAAGGCCTCACTTCCAAATACCATCTCATTGGGGATTAGGTTCCAACATAAGAATTTTGAATTGTTCCCAGTGGGTATTGTTTCTGTGTCCTCTCAGTGGACAGAAGTAGGAAATACATACACACATAAATACAAGCCCAGGAGTTCTTGCTATACCTCCAGTTCCAGTCCAATACCGTAGCATTTTAACCTTCCCAATTTCATATCTGTATCTCCTACAACAGTGAGAAACGTGGCTCTCAACATATTTCATCTTTTACTCAATCCTCCAATATACAGAGACTATTTCAGAACTGCTACTCCATGCCACTGTAAAAAACAAGCCTGTTAGGTAGAGTTCTGTATTTGTTTGTAATTCTTTTCATCTTTAGACTAAGGGTATATATATCAAAGTTCTGTGTTAAAAAGTTACTTGAGTTAGTACTTTTTCCCCTTCAATATGGTTTGTTATTTGTTTGGAATATAATTTGGTAATTTATAAACAGAGCTATTTTATTCAATATTTTTTGTTTTAACCTTTATGAAAATATGTAACTAAATTTTTTTAAAAAAGAATTTTGAGGGGACAGAAACTGTCAGTCAATAGCATTATATTTAAAGTAGTATTTATCATCCAGAGTTGGAATGAGGATTTAATGTGTTTACCCAGTCCACAAGGAAAAAATTGAAGTCTCTCTTCCTTCCCAAACGTGTCCCCACCTTCCCCATGGATAACCTTCCCCACCTCAGTGAGTAGCACAACTCAGTCTGGCAGCCAGAAAATGGGAACTTATTCTTGCTTTCTCCCTTCCCTTTGCTCTCCACTCAGTTCATCAACATATCCACTTAGATTATATCAAAACATACCTGAAATCTGCCAGCCTTTTTTTTGTTGTTGTTTTAAATATATTTTTATTGATTTCAGAGAGGAAGGGAGAGGGAGAGGGAGAGAAACATCAATGAAAGAGAATCATCGATTAGCTGCCCCCTGAACGCCCCCTACTGGGTATCAAGCCCACCACCCGGGCATGTGCTCTTGACCATAATCGAACCTGGGACCCTTCAGTCCGCAGGCCACACTCTAGCCACTGAGCCAAACCAGCTAGGGTTGCCTGCCTTTCTTATCATGCCCACTGTCACCACCTGGTGCACTTGGAGGAAATATTTACAACATACCTAATAAAGGATTAATATCTACAATATGCAAATTAATAAGAAAAAAGACAGTGATTGAGTATATGAACAAGCAAGTGACAGAAAAAGAAACCTAAATATGTTGAATGCATTTAAAATATCAGGTTATTCTGAGCTTCACAATAATCCTACAAAATGAGTACAGATATAAAGAAATAGGCTTAGTGAGGTTAAATAACTTGCCCCAGGGCAAACAGTTGATAATGATGGAGCCTGGATTTAGTGTGTCACCAATGCCAGTCCTTTCCACTGGCTCTTGCTGTTGAGTCTCGCCTAGATTCAATTTCCTTTCAAGAAAAAAAAATTAAGAGGTCCTAAAAATGAAGAAGAATAAGCAGCAATCCAATAGAAAAGTGGGCAAAGATCTGAACAGTTCATAGAAAAAGAAATACAAATGCTCCTTAAAGATTAAAAAATGCATGTTTCTGTCCATAGTAAGAGAAATGCAAATTAAATGACCCAAAGACACCACCTCTCACCTCTCAGATAGGCAAAAATACAAAAACTCAACATTATATTTACTGAGAAACATATGAGGAAAGGAATACTATCATGTTACCAATAGAAATAATGCAGCAAAATGTGGCAGTATCTAGCAAAATGACAAATGCATTTTTCTCTTGACCCAGCACTCTTACCACTAGGAATCTAACCCAAAAATACAATGGCAATAAAAGGATGTAAGCCAAAGGTTGTTCATTGCATTGCTCTTTATAATGGAAAAAGACTGACTGAAACAACTCAGATGTCCATCGTAGGGGACTGGTTGATTAAATTACACTTCATCTACATGCTGGACAACTATGCAGATAAATGAAAACCATAAAAGATCTCTAAACACTGTTCTGGCATTATCTCCAAGATATATTGTGAGGTGAAGAAAGCAAGGTTAGAACAGTGTACACAATAAAAGAGACCTAAGAGGAGGAGCAAGGGGCTGGAGTACTGGTACTGTCCTATTTGTTGACCAGGGAGATGGTTATGTGAGTTATTGCCTTTGCAATGACTTTTAAAGCTGCACAGTTACATGCATCTTTCTGTAAGCATGTAGTACCTCAAACAAAGTTTTAAATCAATAAATTTTAATCTCAATTATAATCTCTGAAGATTCTTGGGCAAAGAAATGGAGAGAGAGAGAGAGAGAGAGAGAGAGAGAGAGAGAGAGAGAGAGAGAGAATGCAAATGATGGGTAGTTAGGAACCTGATTTGAACAAGCAGCAATTTTTTAAAATCATATTTTTGGACCATTGAGGAAATAGGAATGTAGACGTTACCCGATTATTAAAAGAATTTCTTTAAAAAAATAATTTCTTGTTAATTTTGTTAAGTGTGATAATGTAAGAAAATGTGTTTTTTTAAAGAGATGCATAGTTAAGTTTATGGGGTTAACAGGCATCATATTGGGATTTGCTTTAAAATACTCTAGCCAAAAATAAAAAAGATGGTGCAATAGATAAGGCTGACAAAGTGTTGATAGTTGTTGGGGTTGTGTGATATGTAAGTGGAGGTTTCTTATATTCTCTACTTTTGTGTAGGATTTAAAATTTTGTTTAAAATATTTTTTAAAAATATTTTTGTTGATTTCATAGAAGAGGGGAGAGGGAGAGAGAGATAGAAACATCAGTGATGAGAGAAAATCACTGATCAGCTGTCTCCTGCACGCCTCCCACTGGGGATCGAGCCTGCAACCCTGGTATATGCCCTGACCCGGAATCAAACCATGACCTCCTGGTTCATAGGTCAATCACTGAGCCATGCTGGTGGAGCTAAAATATGATAAAACCCTAATACGCAAATCAACTGAACGGTCACTATGATGCGCACTGATCACCAAGGGGCAGATGCTCAATGCAGGAGCTGCCCCCTGGTGGTCAGTGCGCTCCCACAGGTGGAGCACCGCTCACCAGAAGCCTGGCTCATGGCTGGCCAGCGCAGTGGTGGCAGGAGCCTCTCCTGCCTCTGCTGAAGTGCTAAGGAGCACCACGCAGGCGGGCGGTAAGGAGCGAGGGGTCCCCGACTATGAGAGGGATCCTGAATTGCGAGAGGGTGCAGGCCAGGCTGAGGAACATACCCCCGCTCCCTGCACCCCCCCACCCCAGCCCAGTACATGGATATCATGGACCAGGCCTCTAGTGTGTGTGTGTATGTGTGTGTGTGTGTGTGTGTGTGTGTGTGTGTGTGTGTGTGTGTGTGAATCATTGTTTGGCTGCCTTCTGCATGACCCCTACTGGGGATCAAGCCCACAACCTGGGCATATGCCCTTGACTGGAATCAAACCCAGACCCTTCAGTCCGCAGGCT